AACCAAAGACAGCTATCCCAGGCTCTAATAACCTTGAGCTTGTCATGTACCATACATAATCCTTATATGTTCATCAGCTCCGCCCATCGTGCCCGTCGGGTCGTATCCCAAAATAGAACGATTCGCACATACCCCAGACGCATACCCATGCACATATGTTTCCCCATACCCCAACTCCCTTCAAACTAACAAATAAATAATGAGCAACCCGACAAGTACAAAGATATTTAATTCCTCTACTCCTCTTCTCCTGTTCCTGTCCAAATTAATTTAGCTATATAGACTCATGATATATTTGCACCAGCTATCTCTCTACCACCTCTCTCCACCACCTCTCTCCACCACCTCTCTCCACCACCTCTCTCCACCACCTCTCTCCACCACCTCTCTCCACCACCTCTCTCCGCCACCTCTCTCCACCACCTCTCTCCACCACCTCTCTCCACCACCTCTCTCCACCACCTCTCTCCACCACTTCCAACTATCCATCCCCGTCCTAACCTCAAGCCCTTCGAACATCGCCCGCTCCCCGCTTCTCTCTCCGTAAAAAGAAGACTTCACAAACAAAACAAAAAAGGAAGTACCTATCCCTCTATATAAACACACCGTTAAAATACAAGAAACAAATATATATATACCCACTACTATAGGTATATCTCTTTCCTCAAAGATTAATTCTGTATAACATATATATCCTTTCAATATAAGGTTACTTCTCTCTAAAGACACATCAAAATTTCACTCAGGAACACACTCTATCGTTTTACCTAGTATTTCATTTCATTTCACTTCATTCTATGTCTCTTTCCCGTCTTAGTATAATGTTTCATTCCTATACTACATACTTGATGTAATAAAATGACCTGAAATGACCAAAGAAATTCGTATTTGTTTGATCATAAGCTCGTAAGTTCATATGCTCCTTTCCTGAGTCCACATCTCCTCGCTCAGTTCTTAGAAAGTAACAATGTATGGAAGTAATAAAAGACAATGTAAAAAACAAAAAGCAAAAAGCAAATTTTGTAAAGTAAAGCGAAGCCATATAGAAAATGTACACCAACAAAATAGCACGAGTTTTAACAAATCTTCTATCATAGATAGATTCCCCAACCTGTACATTATCCGTGCATACATCAATTCTTCCTCCCCTTCTTAGTAACCATTGTCCACTCATCGTCTTCGATGGTAGTCATAAGTTTCCTATTCGCAATAGATTTCTTAGTTCTATTAGCCGTAGTTGTGTTGCCGTTTGAGCTATAACCAACCACAGCCGCCCATGTAGAAGACACTGGAATGTTAATACCAGAGTTTCTAAAGCGAATAAGATCATCGAGACCTTCTTGAGCCATTTCATCATCGTCTTCAATGGAATTATCGACAAATCCCTGAGCTTCGAAGCACTTCCATACCTGTTTCTTTTTACCAAAAGACATCTTTGAAATACTCTTGGTTGGTCTCGGTTTCTGCTTGAGATGCGTCTCGTATGCCGTGGTGATTTTCAAGACTCGGATCTCTTTCTTGACTCTTGGACACTTCTTAGCGATGACTTCAGATCCGAAGGCCCCTACAGCTCCCTGTAAAATCTCCCTGTCGGCCATCGAATCCGCAGGTATGACCTCGTCCACAATAACCTCGCATTTACCATCTGCAATACCGTAGCTCCCATGTGTCTCTTCATCTTCATCAATCTGACCATCAACCGACTCATCGCCAAAAATCTCTGCTTCGCTTTTCATCGCAGTTATCTTCTGACCGGTTGCCCAATCAAATGTCTTTCGGTATTCGAGGATATTTCGAAAGGCATTTCGCCCGGCCCATCTCCAGAAACCTTCCTCCCTGATCACAGCCTCCTCTTCTTCTCGTTTGATGACCTGTAGATCGTTCTTGACTGCAATGATGAGCTTTCCTATCAATTCTTTCCTGGTTTTTGGACTAGAAAGTGGATTAACGTCAATGCCAAGACGGTACATTATGGCCGGATCAATGCCCCCGTATGGGTCATTCTTGTGAGCCATTTCTGGCGTGAACTTTTGCTGGTGACCACGAAGCTTGGATTGCCTCAAATTAGTTGTAGTTGTAAGCTTTCTAGCCGCCTTTTGTTGCTTTGGAGTCGGATAATTGGGGACCTTGTATTCTTTGTTGGAGGCTGGATGAGGGGACTGAACCGCATACACATCATACTCCTCATCTTCTTCCTCGACCACATCATTGTTTGTAAGCGAAGCATCGGCACGTCGATTGTCATAAGCATAGGTCCCTTCCCAAGCACCTTTGCTTTCATGTATTTGTCCGTGCAATGCCTCGCTGATGCTGTTGATCTCATCTTGACTATAAACATCAACATTTCTTCTAGTTCTTGCACCCAACTTCTTTGCCTTTTTCCTTTCTCGCCTTGTCAAACTCTCTTCCTCGAAACTAATCTCAGAGATGGCATCCGTTGCCTCGGAAGTGGTCTCGGAGTCTGTCCGTTTCTTCTCTGGTCCATCCTTTCTTTTCATCATTTGAGAACCAAGAGATTGATTCTCTTGGTCAAACATGTTGATATCTCGAATAATGTTCAGGATCTCCTTGTGCCGAGAGTGGTGCATCTCATCAGAGGTATTACAACTATTGTAGTCAGTAAGCCAGCTTGAAAATAGTCATGAATCTTTGTAGCTACCCCAGACATTCATGCGATTTGCCTTTATAGTGAATTTAAATTAGCATTGATTATAGATAACTGTGGGATTGCAAACTTCCGAAGCATTGGAAGAGTCGTTATAACAGGGGACTTTGGACTTACCGAGGAAATGCAGCTGCTGGTGAAATCGGAAACAAGGTTCAACGTGTTTACCAAGACAAGAAGACTTTGAACGAGCATCTATGAGAGGAGGAGAGTCAGCAGGATCGTTAGAGTCTCATATAGGCTCTATTATTTGACTTACTGTGAAGTGGCATTGCACATGTTCCGCAATGATGCTCTTAAAACGGTTAATATAGCCTCAAATGAACATAGATCATGGAATTTCATACCTAAGCCAGGCGAGACATCCCATCTATACAAAGTCTTGCCCTTGTAGAGACGATCTTCCCTAGCAATAATTGCCCAATTCATCATTGTAAATATTTTACAGGGTAGTCGAACTGAGATAGTCGGGCTTTGATGGCGACGCCGTTGTTTACCTGAGAAGCGTGAGTAATTGGAGCATGAAAATTCGAACTTGACTTGAAAACAGTGAGTCCTGACTGAATTGATCTGACTTTTGCAAGGGAGTATATAAATTAGAGCACCAGTAAATCAGAATATATTTCTTAAAGGCGGACAATAGTCATCTCACAAGGCAAAGATGATAATTGCAGTAAGTACTGTCCTTGCTCTGGACAATAGGATGGAGAAAATCTTTTCTTTAAATGGTCTGAAGGAAGTAGGAAGTCTTTGGTGTTGGCTAGGCGGTGACCATAAATCTCCAAGGACGAGGAAGAGAACAATATAACTTACTTTAATAATGGCTCGTGGACAACGTCGCAGAGATATAAAGACACGGCGAGAATGTTAGATGTTGTGGAATTGTATTGCTTACAGTATTGATGCAAATTTGGATCCCAATGTATGGGCAATTTGAAATTGGTTGTAAAAGAGAGCGAACTTTTGGATGGAAAGACTCGTGAAAGGTGATGATGAAGGTGAAGTGATAAACGAGTGTAATCTCGTGTTGTAGTGGTGCTGTGGATTATGCGGTCCAACACTACCGTAGCGGGTATGAATTGAATTTCGCCGGCCGTGGACTCAATAAGGCTTGTGTAATGTAATCAACTACTAGGTAGTAGGTACCTAGTAACTTATTAGACGTGATGAAAGAATGAGATGTGTGAGTTGAGTGAATGTCAATTGATTGAACCGAGAACGTTGAAATATGTCGTTTTATTCCTTCTCAATCTAGATTCATCCATCAGTCAACACTGCTATCTTCTCCGTGTGTGACTTGGGGCTATCAGGCTATAATACTCCGTAGTTAAACGTCTTCTCAGTAAAATCACAACCTTATGATATTCTTTTCTTTACTGTTGTTCCTAACTTCAAATTCGTCTCAAGATCTTTAGCCAAGGCGATGAATATATTCCAGGAAATCAATGTAATCTTTTGTCGTTCGTGAAAGTTAATTGCCGGGTAAATTTTGGGTACTGTGGTTGATAATTTCCCTTTCTCTTCCTCTTTCCCTGTGTCTCGCCTTGTTCGTTGGTGAGAGTGATTATTGAATAAATTTCTTCTCTCCCTCTCGCTTCTCTGTGAACTGATGGATGAATGCTTTTGAATCTGCACGGAGGTTTCCAAGGTTTTCAAGTGAATGTTGCTCCCCAAAGAGATATTGTATAGATTGATTTGAATCAACGAATGAACGAATGAACGAATGAATGAACGAATCAGTGGATCAATTAATGAATGTATTCCCCTTCGATATATATCAGTCAGAAAGTTGGTTCGAGGAAAAAGGAAAGTGTTAATCATATCCATAGAGCAAAGTGTGGAAGTGGGGAACATCATGCCGTCACGTTCGATAGGAGGTTTGTTTGTTGGAAAAGGAAGGCACATCTTGACTGTTTGGAAACTCGGATATGTGCACCTTACCCACCAGCTAACCTGGAAATACATGCTTTAGAATTCAATACAAACAACATGGAATGAATGTGATTTGGAAACGAATTTAGGAAAACTCATCTTGACTTATCATTCTTCACATAATAATCCAATAACTGCTAGTCGCATTCAAAACTGACCGTGAAGTCCTTTCCGATGTGATATCCTCCGAATCACATACACAGCTCCAGTTCCCATATCCATATCCAGATCCATATCCATACCCATATTCAAATTCATATCCATACCCTCCTTTTTTTACCCCTTTCACTAGAGTAATTCTAAAAAAAGAACCTTCAAAAAAACAAACCAAAACGGAAAATCAATGGCACATTTACCCAATCAATATCGTCCTTTACGTTACTACGTTGTGGTCTCATGAAGACGAAGTTGATTCGCTCGAGTAATATTGGCGTGCCTCCTCCCCTGTTGAATGATGAGGGAAGCTTTACCGCCATATCCAAAGTATGCAGCCAGCCTACAGATCACGAACTAGGCGTGCGCCTGCCCATGTGTATGGATAATTACGTTGGTACCAATTGACGCTACATGATTCAATCAGTATTTAAGGCAAAGCACAAATGAATCTGACTTTGCTCACAATGTTTTTCTTCCAGCAATACGAGGATGAGTTGCCCAAGATCCTCCGAGTACAACGTTGTGTTTTCCATCAAAGAAATCAGCTAGTAATGTTAGATTCTCGACACATTTCATCTCTATCATATTGAGTGGGACACGTACCAGTATAGGCAGGATATAAAGGCATTGGCTCAAATCCTTCATGTTTGCTGAGAACAGAGCTGGTCCATTCCCAAACTCCACCCATCTCAGCCCGCCCTGCAAGTTTATTACCTCCAGCAGTAACGGAGATTGGATGCCAATTTTTGAATCCCACATTGGCACCCTCAAGGTCGGTGAAAAGCTCTTGAGAGCTTCCGCCAACCTGAGAACTTTGCGATGGCGGTGTCTCTTCGACGCCCTCATTGATAAGGTGCCTGTTTTAAACAATTAGTATTTGTTTAGGGGTCACCGCATTACCACTGCACGACATACCCATTAACAGCTGGGACTGTCTTGCCCAAATGTCTCTCTGCTTTTTTGACGTTCAAGCCGTCGACGTGACTATAAATGCTCCGAACCTCATCAACAGTGGGTATTCGCCCACCCATCCAGCTTGCACATCCAGAAAGCTCGTCGTATGAAGCAAAGACTGGCCAATCTAAGGCATACTCAAGCGGTACTAGACCATAGATCGTTCGAACAGCTTTACCTGTGAGATATGCCTTGGTTAGCGGAGGTGGGCTTGCCCCGCCAATACTTCCATTACTACACCCACTTAAATTTCCATTAGTGTAGCCATTGGAATTTGGGAGTTGGGCCCATGAAGTTGGAATCTTGGTCCCGTGTGTTTGTTCTAGATAGTGAGCGTACTACTTCGCTTTAGCCGAAAGTCTTATGAAAGTCTCATATGCTTCTCACCTCTTCATTAGTAATCGGTCGTCCTTTGGCTTCAAATGAGTGGACCAAAACTTTTCGGGAAGGTTTTTCGTTGTCCCTGAGTAGCGTTAGAATTACTCTGTTGTTGAATGAGTGTGTCTAACATACCACCCGAAATGATTGTCCGGTCCGGAATTATCCTCTGGATCGTCTAATCCGATGACAATTTCCTGCTCTGGAATGTTAAACCATTCATTTGGTACTCGAGATGCCTCGGCTCTCTCTGCTTCTCCTTTAAAGTCCGGTATACCACTTGTAGGTGGAATAGTCTTGTCACTTTGCAGTAACATGTACAAGAGGGTCTCCAAATGCATGGCTTCGTGCTCAAAGCCCAACCAGAGTGCACGACCGAGATTTCTGGGAATATCTTGGCTTGCATAATATTTTGCAACCTTTTCTCTCACCTTCTCCTGATAGGATAAAATCTCTTCAAGTGGTGGCCACTCATCCGGAATTTCGGAATGGGCATGGCATTGCTCAGGATTATCGACATCCGGATCTATTCCCCTTTCAAATATCCTCGGATAAGAAGAGGGCTCGCAAAGCGGCTCGCTGGTGACCTTATTTAGTTGTATGTCAAGGAATGTCGGGACATGGCCCAAGTAAAATATGCAAGCATTTCGAAGTTTGATTGGTTGCTCAACCAATTCTTCGTTTGGAATCATTTTCCTGGTGACAGTATCCCATACTGACCACAACCCTTTCCAGTCCTCAAGAGTCGGGGATGTAGACGAAGCATAGACTCTTGGATTCGGATCGAATGCCATTGTCTCTTTTTTTAGAAGGTGGATATCTCGAAAGACGTCAGCGTAGAGCCCAATGAAATATGGAAAAGAGTTTCCAATGGCAGAAGCAGGTTTGAAAAAGGTCATGCCATGTTGATTTCAGTCCCAAAATAGCAAGTCAATAAGCATGCGCCACAAAACCACGATTGGCAATGACCCCCACGCCAGCGGTTTATGTGATCATAAGACCATGTACACCGACCACTCAATCGAGTACTTACATGTGCAATTGCCGATTCAAACCGAAACCGAGAAAAATAAACCACTGCAATACTTACTGTAATCAGCGGTCGAGGCTGACCACTTTTGGGCCTCTCTCAGTCCGGCATCCTTCAATAGTTTGGCGGTTTCCTTCGATGAATATTTCAAACTGACTTCTATCTTCACACGCTCCCCAGCTTTTACAAGAACATCCCGAATGGTGATATCGCGGGATGGAGAATAGAACGCTTGGTGACGGCCTCCTTGAGTGTCATACACATACTCTCCTATTACTGTCCAGTCTGCAATATCAAATACGTTCTCTCCGAGGATTTCATTCGCCTGGACTAGACCGTTCAAGATGAATCTTTTGTTGAGAATCAGTAAGTACCCCGCAGTCCATTATTAATGTTTGTGAGTAAATACCTATGGGTAACTCCTTTCTCATCTTGTTGTCAGGGTTAGCGTCAGGAAATGAGGTTTGAGATGAATCGACAAACCATTGTAAGCATGGCTACAGCATAATTAGTCAGAAGCCGTCCAAATAATAATGTACAAGTACTCACTATATTTTTTCCGGGTTACTTGTCGCATCTATGGCAATGAGAAACATGTCCGAGGGGCTCAAAACTTCCGCAAAACTCTTTAAAAATGATGATGCATCGTTTCTTTGAAAGTTGCCTGCACGATGTAAGTTGATTGCTGGTACTAAAAGTTCTAAAGACAAACCAATGCTCGACCCCATCGACAAAACACATTTCGGCCTAGAAGAGTTTTCTGGAAGTTTCAGCCATGCAAGACCGTCGTCATATGTACCAAGGAGCCCGTGGCATTTCACGTATTTGAATTCCGGGACCTGTTCTAAAGTTCTCTCCAACTCCTTCAATGACAAATCAAGTGCAAAGTAGTCGACAGACTTGCCGGCCGCATCTAAAGCTCGTAGCAATATACTCACCTTGCGTAAATTACTGTCCATTGTTAGTCCTAAAAGCCCAAGACCTAACAGAAAATACAAACCCGCTTCCCAGCTCAACAACCATAGAATTTGAAGGTATGTTTGATGCAATGCTTTCGGCGGAACGTTCAAGGACATCAATCTCTGCATTTGTAAGGTAATATTCAGACAAATAAGTGATCTGTGTCTAGGTTAACATCATTGGCTGAATTCAAGTGAATAAACAACAACCTCTTCATAGATTTGTAGACCCCGCTCACTGTATAGGAGCAGGGTTGGCAGACTCTTAAGACCACTTTTTGGCCTCAAAGATGCCAAAATTTCATCCTTCAACTCAATCTCAGCACCATCATGGCGAATATCGATGATGTTAAAGTTCGAATTGTGTTTTGAATTGGATATAAGCCCCGTGACCTTCGTCACATGAGGAGAAATGCTTGAGATGTCCTCGGCATTGCCCTTGGAAGCACTGCGAACAGTCATTGTGACAGAAGCGTTGAGACTGAGAAGGTTTGCAATATTGGTGCACTATCAGCTGGTTTAAACTTAAACTTAAAGGAAAAGATACTTGGAAGTATTGGATAATTTTAACTGAGGAATGGTGGAAGGGGGCTAACTAATATAGTTTCCAAGACTGATGGAAAGATGGCAATAACCGAGATCTCATGCCAATAGCTAGCTTACACAAAGATTTTACACCTTGAATCCATTACAAAGGCACTAGATAAGACTCGGGTTGAGATGAATGGAGTCTATGCAGGTCATAGTGAAAAAAAGACGGGTTTGTTATGATTACCATTCACCGGTTTGTTTGGATCCTCGTTCTTGGTTCTTTGTTGAATTGTAAGGATTATTCACATGCAGACGTGCTGTCATCAGTAAAGGCAAGGGGTGACCTCATATTACTAAACCACCGCTCAACCCCGCTGTCTGAACGTGGGAAACACTTTTAGTTAATGCTTCTGATAAGCCACAGACTTTAATTTGTGAATAATAAAGCCCACTCGGGGGTATACCTATATATATTGGATGGATTGTTTTGGTGAGCTGAGAAAATCGTTGTTACCATTTGTGTTTCACTGTATAAATCCCTCATCTTCCAAATTATTGGAATGTATCTACATACCTACCTAGCTTATGGATACTCGAGCGGTGCATATGCACCAAAACACCGATCATGGAATCTTTCGGACATTTCCTGATCATAGGACAAGAGTTTTGAGCGACTATAAGCCCAGGATGGTTGAGAGAGGATGGTTGGGAACATTGACAGATGGTCCAGCCATTGCACAAACCGTAGAATTTACGTATATCTGTCAGGCACAGTGCGATGTGGCTTGGTGCTGCTTGCTACTGATTACCACCACGCAGTAGACGGATGCAGCTAGCGGTGGATTAATTCATCCACCTGCATATACCTACCCCAGGTTCTCTGCATCCGAAATAGCCTACACTGTGCATGTGAACTCTTATGACGAGCTGATTAGATCCAGAATTGAACCTCATCGTCCTGGTTAATTCGTAGGTCGATCGTCACCTTTCTCTCTGCACATTTTCCAGTGACAAATCGTATGTGATGTATTCAGCTGAGAGATATCATTAATTCAACTAACTGTAAGAGGGGTGAATCTGTCCTAATCAATTCTTGAATACGTCGAAGGTTAACTGGGCCGAGCCAGATGCCGCGTCGACTGAGGCGTCGACTGAGATGTCACTCTAAGCATCATCGAACCCCACTTCAACATAGTCAACATGCAGAGACACAAGGATACGGAAATGTAACAGTAAAGGGAAGAAAAGGACCAGTCGTTGGCAGACTAAACTGCATGACCACTGCAATGAGAAGATTGATTCCATCCTGACGCATGTTTGGCTCAAAAGAGCTCACGATATTTTAGAGTTTCGCATTAATCCTGGTATGCAAAAACTCCTATGATCCGTGGTTACCGAAGTCGAGTATAAGTTATAAATCGGGTACCCCACTTTCGTATCACCCCTCTGTTACGTCCAAAACGATTATTATGTCACGTGACCATAAAACATGTGATGGAACGGTGAGGAACGAACGTTCCTAGGAACAACCAGGAACGACGATTCCTAGTTAATCATAGGCACAAGGACTATATAATCAAGATGGATTTCTTTTGTATAGAGCTTCGTGCTCAAGATCAATCATTTAGTATACTCTACTATTAGTTACGAATTGCATATCATTATTGTCATTACTTTAGGTCCCTGCTTGACGCCTAGTTATAAACTACCTCGAGAGCCTAGAGCACTTCCACGTGATCTAGACAGCAAACCTCGTAACACCCTTCTTCGAACCACTTCAAAAAGATATATCATTATAAATAATTTCATTTATTAAATTTTTAATACTTTAATAACTATTCAATGATTGATTTAAAATTTTGATATATTATTATTTTATAATAAGCAATTATTATGTTAAAGATAATATTATTATATGTTACAAAATTTGCCGTCTAGATCATTGTGACCAAAAGGGTGTTTATAGACCAGCAATTGTATTTAACTTAGAATCTACAGGTGAAGAGCACCTGTAGATGGGGATAGCTACTCTATATATACACAAATGAATAGCCTAGCCGCAATGGCTAGGCAAAAAGAAGTCATATTTATTCCTCCAATGATCTTACTTTACCGATAACCATTGATACCTAGTACTTGTCCGGATCTGATCCTCAGGTCACCTAAATCGTATACTAATCTCGAGTAATCGTATCATATGTGGACATGGTTAATGTACCTGAGGTTTCTTATATAATAAGGGTGGGAGGAAAGCAGGGATTTCCGTCACAATCATGTGGAAGTGCTCTAGGCTCTCGAGGTAGTTTATAACTAGGCGTCAAGCAGGGACCTAAAGTAATGACAATAATGATATACAATTCGTAACTAATAGTAGAGTATACTAAATGATTGATCTTGAGCACGAAGCTCTATACAAAAGAAATCCATCTTGGTTATATAGATATTCATGCTCCCTTGGATCCTTTTGGATCCTCAAGCTCCAAAAGCTCCAAGTCACGTGCTTTCTGACAGTGCGTGCACATACGATCTTAAGGTGGCCCAGATCACATATTAATTCGATGAAATCTGATCGCTTTTGCACAAGGCCCAAGCTCTCCTAATTAGTCAGTTGTTACTATCGTAACAGTTTAATAGAATAAAATAATATTGAGATATTAAAGTTTAATATATAACGTGGTTTATCAGCGAGTCGCCACTATCAGCGAGTCGCCACTATCAGCGAGTCGCCACTTTTTCAATATCTTTTATCATTCAATTTCAAGACGCGATATTTCAACGAATTATTATGGAAATACAATCAAAAGAGGCCAGAATAATCTTAGCTATTGAAGCTATTCAAAAATCAAAAAATCTTACAGTTGGAAAGGCTGCGAAAATCTACAAAGTCCCTCGAACTACATTACGAGATAGAATGAGCGGTCGAATTCACAGAATGGAAACTCGAGCAAATAATCTTAATTTGACTGAAAAAGAAGAAGAGGTGCTTATTCAGTATATTATCGATATGGATGAAAGAGGATTTGCACCTAAATTAAGTGGTGTAGAAGATATGGCGAATTATATTCTCGAATCAAGAGGTGCGAAGAGAGTTGGAAAGCTCTGGGCTCATCGATTCGTAAAGCGTTGTACAAAATTAAAGACGCGTTTTAGTCGTGTTTATGACTTTCAAAGAGCTCTCTGCGAAGATCCCAAGCTTATTGAAGAGTGGTTTGGATTGGTATCGAATATGCGGGCGAAATATGGTATTCAAGATTGCGATTTCTACAACTTCGACGAAACCGGCTTTATGATGGGTATAATATGCCCTGGAATGGTTGTAACTAGTTCTGAAAGAAATGGCAGAAACAAGGCAATACAACCAGGCAATCGAGAATGGGCTACGGCAATTATATGTGGTAATGGAGAGGGTGAAACTATACCTCCATTTCTGATAGTTCAAGGACAAGTTCATCTTTCCAATTGGTATACCGAAACCGATTTTCCTGCGGATTGGGTTATTAAACCTACTTCTAATAAATGGACGAATAATGAGACAGGTTTAGAATGGTTAAAGCACTTCGATAAATATACTAGTCAACGAAGAAAGGGCAAATATCGAATGTTAGTATTGGATGGGTATGAAAGTCATGAATCGATACCTTTCCAATCATATTGCAAGTCAAATGACATTATATGTGTAAAGTTACCATCGCATTCAAGTCATTTAACTCAACCACTTGATGTTGGATGTTTTAGCGTACTCAAACGTTCATATAGTTGTCAAGTTGATGAGTTTATCAAGGCATATATCAATCATATTTCTAAGATTGAATTCTTTATAGCTTTCAAAGCTGCATATCAATAATCGATTACAATTCAGAATATGAAAGCTGGCTTTCGAGGAGCAGGACTAATACCATTTGATCCTCAAGCTGTGCTTTCGAAATTAGATATTCGAATTCGCACACCTACCCCTCCATCGATCCTTTTGGAATCTGCCAACTCTTGGGTCTCTCAAACACCTCACAATCCAACTGAAGCTCTTTTACAATCAACTTTAGTGAAATCTCGAATTGCTCGACATCAATCAAGCTCTCCTACACCTATATTCGAAACTGTAGTTGCATTAGCTAAGGGTACAGAACGACTAGCTCATGAGAATACACTCTTAAGTGCAGAGATTCGTATGCTTCGGAAGGCAAATGAGGCATTAAGCAAACGTCGACACGTTAAAAAAACTCAATTACGTCAAGGAGGAGTACTTACTGGTCAGGAAGCTATAGATATAATATCACAACAAGAGGTGGATATTCAGATTCGACGCGACGAGCGTCAAAATAGGGGAAATTCCAATGGGGAATCATCTACTAATCGATGCTGTAGTAAATGTGGAAAGACTGGTCACAATTCAAGAACTTGTTCTAATAATATAATAGACCCTAGATTATTAGATTCTTAATAGTTTAAATCAATTGATTCAATAATTGTTGATTAAAATAAGTTTAAAGTGGTTGAATAAGTGAAAAAGTGGCGACTCGCTGATAAACCACGTTATACAATAACATTCTTTGAAATAATCCAAAAGAGGGTTGTGTCACGATTCATTAATTCATGTGACCTCGAGGACCTTTTGGACCTTAGGGTCCCAGAGTGTCACGAATCACGATTATTATAACACAATAAAAGCAAGTACGGCGGTTTGGGCCGCTGTTTCCGAGGGGGTCCTTATCGATAAGGAATCCTAGGACAAGTGTCCTAGGATAAAATGTGTCCCAGGATAATAATCATCCTAAGACAAACCATTTAGGCAACTGTGATGGCTTAGGACAAGTGTCCTAGGACATTATTCGTTCTAGGATAAAAGTCCTAGGATAATATTTGTCCCAGGACAATTATCCTAGGAGTTATATTATCCCAGGAGACGAATTGTCCCAGGATTAGTGTTCTGAGGCCAATAGGAGATCACGTGACATGCTAGCTCTGCTAGCCAGCTAGCATAGCTAGCACTCAAGGAAACAACGAGTATATAGTTAGAATAGTTTCTTAGTATAGGAGCTTCGTGCTCAACTTAGTTATCAATTAGTTTACCTACATTCTACTTGATCTAGTAACGACTTCACTTCCAAGTGAAGACCAGTGATAAAGCCTTAACCCACAACTACCAACCAGACGAAACCTTAGGCAGCCGCTGCCTTTAGTACAGTATCGTTACAGGTTGGTCTGGAAATGAGGTACTTGACTTGAAGGCCGTTAGACTAGAGATGCCATTCGGAGGATCGGCTACATTGAGACTTTGCTAAAAAGCTCACGATCAGTTGACTCAGATATATTATGTAATTCAATTCAACTTTTGTTGGCTAATAAGCATTACTCATTAAATTCTAAAGGCCCATTATTACTCTCAATGGATTTCGTAAACTTTCATCGGAATTTGAAATTTGAGCTTGGTCCGATCACGTGATATATAATCTAATCTTATCGGCGGTCGCTGGGGTTGCTCCGTGCGTTTGTTTACTTGCTTTCGATCTTTTTCAAACAACGAGGCAGGACCAAATATAACAAAACATACAAAAGTACAAAAACAGATTACAACTTCTAGCCTATGAACTTCAACCCTACCATAGATAGAAACAATCAGATAAACATGTCTTACAATCCACGAATGAGTCTTGCGCCCAGCTCGCAACAACAAAATCGAGGCAAGAAGAAGGAAGAAGAGAGCGATTCATTCATGCGCCTGGTAAGATAGTTACATCATGACCGCATTGAAGTCTCATTAACTATGATAGCCCGACAAAGAGATTGCAGGATGTATAAGCGATATTGGGGTGCCTTTCACGGCGGCGGATCTCTTAAAGCCAAACCCTCTCCAAATTCAAATGATTTTTGAATGGTTCGCAGAGCTTCTTATGAACACCACCCGCGATACAGTCGACCCTGCTATGCGTGCAGCATCCGAGGATATATGTGAAGATTACCCAGACATAGTGCCGGCAGAAACAAGAAATCTCATGGGTTTCTACGTCAGTCTACGGAAATTGCTCTTTGAATGTGGCATTACGGACTTCTCATTTCAGGATTTATACAAACCAACGCACGATCGCTTAGTGAAGATATTCTCTTATATCATCAATTTTGTACGCTTCAGAGAAAGTCAAACGCAAGTTATTGATGAACACTTCAACAAGGCTGAAACTACGAAGGTCCGGATCGAAACGCTCTACATGGAGAACCAAGAGATGGAAAGCCGCTTGGATGAGTTGAAGCGGAACCGCAGGGCGATGGAGGTACATATTTCGGAAAAAGTAAAACGCAATGAGGAGTTGAAGAAAAGGCTCCGGGAACTGCGTCAAAGCCAAGAGAAAATAGCCCGACGGTTTGAAGGACTCACAAAGAAGAAGAAGGAAATGACTGCTGTTTTGGAGGAAAAAACTGCTGCGACCATTGAACTGAAGCAAGAAAGCTCGAAGCTACAACCATATGTGACTCAGTCACCAGCTGCCCTGCAGGCTTCCCTGACGGAATTGAGTAATGCACTGAATACGGACAAGGCGCAAATTGATGCCTTTGATCGACGAGCCCGTGCCCTGCAGACTTCGACCGATACGTTCACAGTAGTATCTACTGATGTAGTTTCATGTACGAAACTTCTAGATGAGATTTCGATCGAATTGGCCAAGGAGGAGGATGAAAACGTAAAAGTGGCGAGACAACAAGATGCAATAGGTGCGAGAACGAATAATGTACGAGAGGTGGAAAGAACCGAAGCTTTGCTACAGCGTCAATTATCGAAACATCTCGAGCGGACAGAGAAATTGAGAGACGGCAGCAAAGCAAAAGCTATGAGTGCTAAAGAGAGAATGGAAGAATTGAGGGCTGTGCACAGAAAGCTCACAGAAGAGAGAAACGAAAAAGGGAGGGAGATGGAGAGGAGGAAAGTGAGGATAGAGCAAACAGAAAAGAAGGTATGGATATTAGAACCTTTGAGAATACCATGCAGGTTCACTGACACATCATAGATGGCGGACTTGAAAGAGAATATCGAAAACGAGATACACAGTGCGCATGACGAGTTCTTAAAGATGGACTCGCATATCAAGCTATACATCACGGAAATGGAGCAGTCTATTTGATTTGCAGGGACACTTTTTGGATTTTATGTTGGACTAGCAATCATGGATATCATGGTAATGAATGGGTATGACAGGGTCAGGGGATTGGGGAAGCGGCTGGTGGCGTTGGGTATACCTAATGATTAAGCATGATAATGACCTCCAAGATGTATTTCTTTCTCCATTTTTATGTGCTATGATCCCACTCTGCTTTACGGAAATCAAACCATCTCGCGAATATCCGCCCAACCTCTACAGTTCTCCCACTCCAACCGCTATCTTCACTCTCCAACCCAGCACGCCTCACACTTCCATTGAGCATGGGAACCTTCTCATCCCATCCCTTCCAGGTTCTTTCATCTCGTCGCCTGTTTTCATCCGATCCCATTCCGTCCCCGTCATTATTTGTACCTTCAAAATCACCATCGCCTTCACCATACAAGTTCGACTCGGCACTTCTCCTCGTTTCATTGGCCCTCTCCTCTACACACACAACAGCTCTCTTATGCCTTCCACCCATGTCCACAAGGCCCGCCAAACTCCTATTTAACCCCTGGGCACTCCATTCGCTCGTATCCCTATGTAGCTCTACTAACCCATACACAACAATCATAACCCTTTTCGTACCCAGTTTATCCCATTTTTGATCCGGCGGGGCTTCAACCTTCGATGGTGTCTCCGGGGAGAGGACGGAGAGGTAGGCGCGCAGATGAGAGGTCGTAGGGACATAAAGCAAGGAAATATGGCGGGAGATGGAGATTTGATGGAGTGTTTTGACGAGGAGCGAATGAGCGGGTGTTTCACCTGGAGCAGTGGTGCGAATTGGGTATGGAGGAGAGGAAGGTATGTCGTTGGAGGATGCTGGTGGTAATGAGGTGTTCGAGGTGATGTCTGCCAGGAGGGAGGAGACGAATGCCGCGCGAGATTTACAGATCAAGATAGTGGTGGGATAAGCACTATGATTTAAAATCCAAGTCAAGAGTTCAGAAGGAAGAGCGGGCGGAAGTGCAATAGGTGGGTGTGACATTTTTGAGCGCAGTATCGTTCTTTGACGTCGGGTGCGACAATGATATTTGTTCCTAGAGAATGGAGCTGCAGTTATTAGTGCTAAATGTTAATGATCCATAGTAAAACGTATTCTCCGACATATGTACCACGAGAATTTAATTATCAATAAATATGTAGAGAAAACAATAAATCATGAGGGAAACAAAGGATTAAATCTTCAAGGTTGTCACTTATCAAATGATGCAATCCGCATATTTGCGGAGCCAAATCAACAATCGCTTACAGCCCCACCATTACAAGTCCCCATTGATCATGTTCCTCTGTAATCTCATTTCGTCGTCCATGACATGGAATCCATATCTAGAATATCCAGCTTGCTGGAAAGTGGTATGAACATTTCTTTTCCCGTTCTACTCTTTAAAATAAAAAATTTGCGACGATGTGGCACAATGATTTCATGCTAACAGCAACAATAGCGAGGGAACTCACGCTCGATGCTGCGCAATCTGCGAGGAGCTCTCGAGGAGCAGGGGCTCTGAAGACATTGCCGCCCCAGCAGATTAAGAAATTATTGGATAGTAGACATGATCGAGAGGTGTTGGAAGGGTTGAGGAAGGTCATCTCTGTATGTTTTCCCGATTATCGATGCGCATTTCTGCCAGCTTGACACGAAGTGGAATTCTAGGCCTGAAAGTACAGAGATACGCTCTAACAGATCCCGCAGATGATGTACCGTTCCCAACCATGCCTCACATTCTTCTCCTCCGTCGTAAAGAACGTCGCATCTCCGAATATTGAGATCAAAAAGCTGGTTTACATCTATCTTCTGAACCACGCGGAACAAGAGCCCGACCTAGCTCTCCTCTCTATAAACACTATTCAAAAGTCTCTTTCAGATGGAAACCCACAAGTCAGAGCCCTGGCACTCAAAACTATGTCTGGAATTCGTGTGCCTGTTATCAGTCAAATCGTATCGCTGGCCATTAAGAAAGGATTAGGAGATATGAGTCCATATGTTAGGAAGGCGGCAGCTTTAGCTATCCCGAAGTGCTATAGATTAGATCCGAATACTCTCCCGCAGCTACTAGACTACTTATCGACATTACTTGGGGACAAACAATACTATGTAGCCGGCGCAGCAGTCACTGCATTTCTGGAAGTATGTCCCGATCGCCTAGACCTTATTCACAAGCATTATAGAGGTCTTGTAAAAAAGCTAGTAGACATGGACGAATGGTCACAAATGGCAACACTCCACCTAATGACCCTCTATTCTCGCAAATCTTTCCCCAAGCGCACCCGGCGCGTTCGCAAAACCACCTTCAAAAGCAACGGAAACCAACAAAATTTCTACGCCGATTCTGACGCCGAACAAGAAGAAGACACCGAAGGAACCAGCGAAACGGTCCAAGTTCTCGACCCAGATCTCGAGCTTCTCCTGAAAAGCATCAGACCTCTTCTTCAATCCCGCAATTCTGGTGTCGTGGTAGCTGTATCCCGCTGCTATGTGGCTCTCGGAACACCAGACTTTATAAATCATTGTATTGGTCCTCTTATTGCTCTATTACGCGGCCCCTCAGATATTCAACACATAGCACTGTACAACATCGTCTCCGTGTGCCTCATGCGCCCCGAGGCTTTCGTAAAATACGCATCTCATTTTCTCGTCCGATCAACCGATCTCCCACAGGTATGGGAACTCAAACTTGAACTACTTACCCTGATATTCCCTCATTGTGATGCTTACATGAAGAGCCTAATACTCAACGAACTGGAACATTTTTCCCGCGGCTCGGATCGAGAATTGGTGAGAGAGTCAGTGAGGGCTATTGGTCGATGTGCACAAAGTGATTCTAGAACATCGGCAAGATGTTTACGTTTATTGTTGAAGCAAATTACCAGTCTAGATGGAAACCTAGTCGCAGAGTCACTTACTGTAATCAGGCATCTTATACAACAGGATCCAACATCACATACACATACCGTCATTCGCTTAGCCAAAAATCTAGACACAGCTACAAATCCCAGGGCTCGAGCTACTATTATTTGGCTCGTGGGAGAATTCGCCGGCCTTGATGGAGAAAATAATATCGCACCTGATGTTCTTCGTATCTTGGCTAAAGGCTTTGCTGATGAAGCAGAGCCTGCGAAATTACAAATTGTTCTTCTAGCTGCTAAAGTATATCTACATCATTTGAACCGGAATGCTCCAGAACCAGAACCTCCCAAACCTTTACCAGCTTCTCAACCTTCCCACAATTACGCCGGAATCGAGGAAGAAAATGAAGGATTCGCATCCCTTGACTCACCTCCACAAACCTCCTTCTCCCCGCCTCCGGAACCGGAATCCGAACCTGATCACCCCATCGTCATCCTCTGGAACTACATCCTCCTTCTTGCCCGTTACGATACTTCATACGACCTCCGCGACCGTACGCGTCTCTACAAATCTCTCCTCGCCATCCCATCATCCACTCAACTTGCATCGCTCATGCTTCTTGCTCCTAAGCCCATCCCACATACTCCTAGTCCCTCCGAAAGCCGCACTGGCTTTACTCTTGGAAGCGCCAGTCTCGTCGTTGGCGACGAGGGTGGTATGCATGGATTAAAGGGCTATGAGGCACTACCTCCATGGGTAGCAGCCGGATCTGAGCCAGATCCATCTTTGCGTGAACCTGATTCCGCTCGGAATGAATATGAAGAAAAGAAAGTCCTGACTGCAGGACAGATATTGGATAGTGCGGTGAAAGATTTCAGGCCTGGGGTTTCGCCATCTAGGACGAATGGGTTTAATGCTGGAGGTTCTGGCCCTAGTACAGCTCCAGGGAAGGAGAAAACACTTGATGACTGGCTAGCCGAGTCGGAAGAAGAGGAAAGTGATGATGAAGAAGATGACGAGGAAGAATCCGGGGGAACCGAAGAAGAGGAATCTGGAGAGGAAGAATCTGAGGAAGAGGAAGAAGAGGAAGAGAGTAGCGATGATGATGATGATGGGGAGCGCGATAGACTCGTCAAATAAGTGATATCCCGTCGCGAGCCACTGGCTGCGCTAACATCTATAATACATCATTAACTGATGATGGATGGCCTTACACTAGGAGGCTTATGATTAGCTCTCGCACGATACATCTTACGCAGGCATGAAAATATTTAGTCACAACAACATTAGAGTAATATCAATGAATGTGGAATTAAAAGATCATTGTTTGATGATGAACCAGGGACCAAAAAGCCCTCTGGCATTACTATTAGCCACAGCAAGTAGCTTGGCATTAGATACTACTGATTGTCCTATTCTCCACATCTTTGAGCCTGGTGTCTGCTTTGAAAAACAAGTAGCCTAGGCAGAACGACCGGATCTCACTGAAGAGTCTCCGTCTAGAATGAATCTTCTAAATTCAATTATCCTTTTGGCTCCTGCAATGTGATAAATGTATCGATGTATGCGATATGACTAATACACTGTACAGGAAACCATCAACTGAAAATCAAGCCTAAACTCCCGAGAAAAAAAGCCCCGAATAACGCCTCAGTATGCATGTGACTTTTACTTGTACAGAGAATGAGAAAAAGAGCTTTGATAGATAACCGACTACTTGAAGGCTTGCATGATCCAAAAGACTCTTTTGCAAACTATATGCTGTTTACCTGACCAAGACCGAATAAATGCCCATGGAGGAAATGAAAAAGTCAGCTACCAACGGCGACTGCAAAGTTATATATTAGCATATGTAGACAACGCCAAGGTTTAAGCCTTACCTATAAGCTGCATCGACCACTGGCGCAGCCCTTTTAAGTTTCGGCACAGCTTCCTCAGACAAACGCTGAGATTCTTTGCCTTTCTTGCCACTGATTACTCGTACGATTTTGCGTGGCTTTACAGGCTCTTTATTTATTTTTCCGAGTATTTCCAACGAGGTGGGGCTCAAAGGGGATTCCGGCGTGACATTTTCCTCGGCACCTTTCTTTCCATTTTCCTTATCATTTTCCGCGCGGTCAGTGGGAGGAGGCGTTGTTGTAACATTGTGCTCTGGCCATGGGTCGAACATAGGCTCCTCTCCCAGTGGGGGCGGTGGGGGAGGAGGAATGTGCTGGTGATTAAAGACTTGTGGTCCGGAGAATGAAGGAAGAGCGTTAGCATAACCTGGTTCTTGTCTAAAAGCTTGATTTGCCATGCTAGGATTAAAAGGATGCCGCTGGGAATTATAAGGTTGTTGAGCATTGTAGTGAGGCCGCAGAGGGTTGAAAGGAGGTTGTTGGGCATTAAAGGGTGACTGTTGGTTGTAGGGAGGTTGCCGAGCATTGAAATGAGGATGCTGTGTATTGAAGAGAGGTTGTTGGCTGTATGGAGGTTGCTGGACATTATAAGGAGGCTGTTGAGGATTGAAAGCAGGTTGCTGAGCATTGAAAGGTGATTGTTGATTGTATGGCGTTTGCTGCTGAACATTGAATGGTGGTTGCTGATTATATGGAGGTTGCTGATTATATGGAGGTTGCTGAATATACGGAGCTTGATTACTGTAGGAAGTTTGCTGTGGCTCATAAGGAGGTTGCTGGGGACTGTAGATCGGCTGCTGCAACTCCTCAATAGGAATCATGACCGGTGGTCCAGGCTCAACCGGCTTCGGAGCACCAGAAACACCTAAAGATGCCAGCAACGCCTCAGTTGGATCGGCGCTCTCGCCCGCCTGAGGAGCCCAGATATCGTCGGGTGCTTCAGCAACAGATGGAGCTTCGTTTTCTGTATTATCATCGCTAAATCTAGGCAGGCCATCCGCAGATTTTGACAATTGATCGTCAACTTTTTGACGTTTGTTGTTTTGCAATGTTGGAAAATCGGCTTGTAATTGATCATTGACATTATCCTGTTCCGACGTGCTGGGTTTACGCTTACCCGTACGTGGTACAACCGCAGCAGTCGCCTTTCGAGCTGCAATAGATACATATGCATCGCCATGCCTCAATTTCATACAAGCATCAAGTTCTTGGAAAGGTATCGGGTCATCTTCAGTCTTGAAGTCCTGGAAAGTTGGATCTTCTTGTAAGTATGGCCACTGAGGTGTTTTCCTAGCGCTCTGCGTATACTCCTTCAGGTTTTCTCTTCTTGCGTACCTCGAGATTGTAATGGTTGATTTCTTATCGATAAGAGGGACAGGGGTCATATCAAATCTATTAGCTAAAGGTTGCGCAAGTGCAACTGTTTCATGTTTTTCGCCTGCAGCCATGAAGATCTTTTTGTAATCCCAATTGAACTGTTTCTCTTCGTCAGTCCGATCACCGTCTTCCTTCATATCGGCTGGATGTCCATCCCATTCAGATACATTATTTCTTGAAGTAGGCGAACCATACGGTGTAGGAGCCACGCTTGAAGCTCTTGAAGAAGCTCGCGGTGTCTCGACAGGTTGTGAAGAAACTTCATTGGGGGCAGTGTGTGGAGTATTTTTAGATCGAGGGATGTACAACCCACGTTTATTCACTTCTGGGGTTGAGATAGGAGGCTGCTGAGAGCCGGACCGACTTTCACCCTGCTGGACTTGTTGAGATCCCATGCGACTTCCACTTTGCTGGGACTGCTGTGATTGAGATCTCCTAAACTCATGATGAAAACCAGAACTTGATTGCACCTGGACTTGCTGTTGTTGTGATCCATTCAAAGAAGTCGTTGATGGCGGTGAACCATTCCATTGCCCTTGGCTTGGCGTGCCTTGACTTTGGTAAGATGCTGATCGGCCTAGGTTACTGTAATCTTGAGTGTAACCATTATTTTGATGTTGAAAGGGTGTGGTTGGGACGGAGGAGGAAGGAAATTGCTGTCCACTCTGAGATTGGGTTGGTGGGCCATATTGTTGTGGTGAATTTGACTGGGAATATTGATTGTACGGAGCTTGATAGCCTTGAGATCCGTTTTGCTGTTGATTTTGTTGGTTATAGTCAGCTCCATTGGCGAAAGGTTGTTCGTACGGCTTATTCTGGTGGTAATTAGAATAGGCGTGATGGGAACGCCCTTGTGGTTGGTGATTCTGTTGTTGGAAACCTTGCTGCTGGAACTCTTGCTGTGATGAATGTGGACTGGGATGTTGTTGATAAGGTAGATTTGTTGCATAGGGAGCAGATATAGACGCCCCATTGAATTGAGAATTTTGACCAGGGTCTGTAAATTGTGACATTGGAGCACTTTCAGAACCAGGATAGGGAGCATATTTGGAACCCATCTGGCCATTTTGAACATTGGCCCACTGCTTCGTTTGTGATGTTGCCCCATACCCATTGGTATTTGCTGCCTGAGGAGCAGCCATAGCACTTATTACCATTAGCCTCACTCTTAGGACGAGGATACAGGAAGAAATTTATGAAGACATAGGAAGAGCTCAACACTTACACTTGACTATTTTGATTTTGTTTTGGACAATCTTTGACATAATGACCTTCTTGGCCACACGTGAAGCAGATTGGGGGACGCCCACGAGGCGGCGCAGGTATAGGAGCATTGTAGTTTTTGTTGTAGTTTTGAGGCCCTTGAGGACCGCTCTGAGACCAATTTCCCAACATAATGCACCCTCCGAAAGAAAGGATCTGATTTTACTAACAAGTCATGAATTGGGCGGGACAAATTGCGCGACGCCGAGTTGAGCTTAAGTCGAAAGGACCAAGTAGATGGGATCACTGCTGGATAGATAGACAAGTATTCCGACGCGACAGAAACACGAATAGCAATATCGGGGAAGCGAATAAGCTTATTAGTGTTTTCCTGTTATCCTGACCCTTGCGATTGAGCTTGCGATGACGAAAAGCATCGATGAATTTGATGATGGATAGAAAAGGGATTTTATGTTGTCCGCGAAATTGAATGTTCAGAGAGCGACGTTGTGCAACGATACCGTGAAAGACCGTACTCAAGGATGAAAATGCAGGCCCCCGACTCCACAGTAATAAATAAGTCAAAAGGAAGTACTGTACGGAGTAAGTACCTTGCTAGGGTCACTATTCCCAGCTAATCCACATGCAGAAGGGATTGGAAATGGATAATGGAGAAGTGTAGCAAAAATCAAATATGACAAGTTTTCCTTATAATGTGACCTGACTTGAGCTGACCAAAAGAATGAACGAACGAATGAATGTGTATGCCTTGAAGAGAGAAGAATGTTTACTTCCAAAAGTAACTTTGTCAATAATTAGGGTTATGAGATCAGCAATTGTGAATGTGGATTAAATTCCCTCTTCCTGATTCTTGAAAATAGAGAAAGGGAAAAATGTTGATGTTGATGTTGATGTTGGTTGTGGTCGACGTAGGTAGGTAGGTAGGTAGGTGTAGGTGTAGGTACTAGGTATTACTGACTTGATATGGGTAAAGTAAAGGCAATAATTACGAAAGTGTTAAATGAGGTAAGTAGGGCAGATATTGGATATTGATTGGAATGGGAGATGAAGGAAGGGAAATGGGAGTGGAAATGGAAATGAAGAGACTTTGATTTTGGATTGGATTGGTTTTGCTTGTTGATGGTAATTGTATGGACTGGTACTGGTAGGAAAATCCGTAAGAGAGACCAAAAGATCAAAAGATGTCAATTTTCCTATGCAGTTAGCTGCTGGGATTCAGATCACGCTAGTTTAGACGATTATTCCACTAGCTACGGTGATCTTTTCATGCCAGCTGGTTCATTCATTTTTACGGTAAACTGTATCCACCTATCTGGGCGAGTCGTCCAAGCCAACACAAGCATAATCTTGATAATCAACTACCTAGTACATACTCCTCTGTACAGAGTACATACCTTGCCCACTACCCACCACCCACCCACTTCCCACACTGCCCACTGCCGACACTGCCTTCTGCTCACCACACATATTTGTTGATAAGTGACAACATCCCTTTTTTTGCCTACTGACCTTTTCATATTTGGTTATGACTTAGAATTCTTTCTTAAGCGACAATGTTGCTTCGCCAAAATTCTATTTTGCAAGAAACCGCAGGTTGTATCAACTGTCATTCTCCAATATTAGTTTTCTGTGGCGCAAATCAGAGGTGATTAAACTCCTGAAACTTTGGCAATATGCCCGGTCTGCCATGTAAGATTACAACGACCTTGCTGCTACGAGGGCACACACTTATATATAACTATAGCTTCTGTCGATCTCGACCGATGTATAGAAAGTCTCTACAAGAAAAACCTCCTCGCCGAATCCGTTATCGAAGCAATATGCGCGAAGACGAAGGAGTTATTAATGCAAGAGAGTAATGTGGTTCATGTGCTGGCACCCGTCACTGTGGTGGGAGATATACATGGTCAATTTTTTGATTTGATAGAGATATTCAAAATTGGGGGTTTCTGCCCAGATACAAATTACCTGTTTCTAGGTATGCCCCGCATTCTGACTTTGCACATATTTCCGCAGTGCTAATATACGGCCTATTTAATAGGTGACTATGTGGATAGAGGCATGTTCAGCGTCGAAACGATTTCTCTTCTTGTCTGTCTTAAACTACGATACCCGCATCGCGTTCATTTAATACGAGGAAATCATGAATCGAGGGGAGTCACTCAGTCGTACGGCTTCTATACGGAGTGCTCCAGGAAGTATGGGAATGCGAATGTATGGCATCACTTTACGGATATGTTTGACTTTCTTACATTGAGTGTGGTCATAAATGATCAGATATTTTGTGTTCATGGAGGTATGGTCCACACCAGCTTGATCTGGTCCGCTCTATGCGGCTAGAGATTCCCTTTTCGGGGAGTTTGCGCCCATACTGACATTTATCTGCAGGTCTCTCTCCTTCGATACACTCTATCGACCAAATAAAAATTATAGACCGTTTCCGCGAGATCCCTCACGAAGGACCCATGGCCGACCTAGTTTGGTCTGACCCCGACCCAGAGCGCGACGAATTCTCCCTCTCACCCCGCGGCGCTGGTTACACATTCGGCGCGCAAGTTGTGAAAAAATTCCTCGAAGTAAACAAAATGTCGCACATATTACGCGCCCATCAACTCTGCCAAGAAGGCTATCAGGTCCTCTATGACGATCGGTTAAGTACCGTGTGGAGCGCTCCCAATTACTGTTACCGATGCGGGAATATGGCAAGTGTCCTGGAAGTCAGTGATACGGGGGAGAGGTTCTTCAACGTATTTGCGGCCGCGCCAGAAAATGATCAGCATAAAGGTGAAATGCAGCAAGCAGGGCAGGACAAGACGGCTGATGGTAGTACGCTGCCAGATTACTTTCTGTGATTCAATTCGAAAGCCGGTCATAGACACTACATCCTGTTTTTCTTTCGACACGCCACTTCTCGAATCATCAATCAACGCCACTACTCGAGATCATGGAAGGAGTTATTAAAAGTCTTTGAAGAAGAGTTGGTGCAGAAACGTTGAGAAATGGCGATTCGCTGTAATGTCAAGTTATTATCTTAAATTCGCCCAGTTCTCATGCCAAAAAGTCCATGCGAAGAGTAGTCACGCGATACTACGCTGCATGATTACTCTTAATTATATGCCAAGACACTGCACTACACGAACTGGGCTGTAATCATGATATAATGTATGCCATTTTACAACTATGGATTGTGCTTTTGTAAAATCAAATTTCATAGGAACAGGAGAAGATACCCATGAATGAAGGCAAAAGCACAAAACCAGCTGTGTAACTTGATTCTGTTCATCCCATCCAAAATAAATGAGATAGGAAGAGCAATGGGATGCGAAAATTCTATACTTTAGAAAAAGTGAATGAGTCTTGTTTGAATTTAAAAATAATGTATGCGCGCCTGCAGGAAAAGGATGCTTTCAAACGACCACAGATATACTTTCTCAAGTCCATATTTCATCCGTACATACCATCCAAAATCAGTTAGTTGCATGATATGCCCAGGCATCTTCAGTTCGTGATTCATTTGACCATCCGTCCATAACTTTTTTTTTCCGTCCAAAACGTCGATTTGCAGGGGTAAAAAACAAGTAGGGAAGAAAATGATCGACTATTCTCCTAGCCATAACATGAAAGCAAAGTCGTGCATAAGGTATGTATCCGTCCAAATCGCAAGCGCGTAAAGGTATGTCGCAAAGTTGTCGTATGAGTTACTATGTGATATGAAAAATGGATCTGTGTCAAATGAGGCGATTACAGTATGAGAGGCGAAAGGTAGAAGACCGGAGGTGGAGTAGCTGGGGGATCTACCAGTCCTTGGTGATGTCAAAAGACCACTCGAATTCAAGATGCTTCTTCTTGTCGTCATCAATGAAGGTGGAAATAGCGGTGTAGTGACCTCGGGCCATCATTCCGGTTGGGGCATCCTCGTCGGCGACTGAGAGTTTGGTTACTAATAGGATTTTTAGGTAGGTGTCAAAAGGACTTACATCGTTTGGTGTGAACAGGATTCTTATCAGTGTTGGGTGCATAACTTCCCTGTTGGCTGGTTAGCATATGATGCATTGGGTAGGCACCGGGACGTGGAGAGGCTCTTACAATCATCTCTTGTAATTTATCGATCCTGATGCCCTTGCGCTTAATGACTTGAACATATTGAAGACCACTCAACACGTTGTGTTGAACTTTGAAAGTGGCAGTAAGGTTGAATTTAGAACCCTCCTTGATCTTGAAAGGATGATCCTTCAAGGTATTGAGAGCATCAGGTGTAGAAAGCTCGAGTTTGACTGGAGGACGACCTTCAGAGTTCATCTCAAGAGTGAGAATGATGCAGTCACGAGGATCATTTGGGTCACTGAGGTCCTTCCCACCACCACCGAGCCCAAGGGATTCCTTATAGCGCTGAAGAGATTCGTCTTCGGCATCTGCATTGAAGGGAGGCTGTCAGTAAATATTCTATATCAGAATTACAATAAAGTTTCATGGCATGAACTGATCAGAGTACATCAGATCTTGCTTGTATGCGAACGTAGAAGACAGGAGTTATTGAGAACAGGAGATATAAAGCAGTACAGCATTTCCATGTGTGCACTAACTTCACACCTTCAGATCTTCTGCTTTTCACAGTCAGATAGAAAGCTCCTTGCCAACCTTTGACGGAATCAAGAAGCCCATGGGTGTCAAAAGGTACCCTTGTTTCTTAACCCCCATAGTTGGTGTGACAACCCTAAAATATTTACAACTAATTTTGTACAAACTATTGTACATAGTTCAGTTGTTTCGATCAAGTAGACTCTAGATATCATAGAAAATGTATCCAAATTTTGATCTCCTGTCATCATTCTATATTGTTTGCCCCAGACCGCCTCGAGTGCGGGGTATCAGCTGGAGGGGTGAACTTGACTCTTGACTCAAGTTGAGCCAAGAATATTCCAAAAGTACTGCTGAGTAAATACGGCCGAAGAGAGATAACAGGAGAAGCTGGAAAGCAACAAAAGAAGACAGGATGAAAGGGGTTTAGAACATACCCATCTTGGAATACTCATCTAGAGTCTTCTTCTCCCCCACCTTGAAACCATCAGTTGTCTCTGGCAAGAGGTCATTATCTTGTTGGTCCGCCATGTTTGATATGTTATGGTAGATTTAGAAGGTATTAAGTGTAACAAGAAAGGATTGGTGAGTAAAGAGGAAGATCTGTAGAATAGATTCCGAACACAGAAATTTAAAAGCTGTTGAGTTTGTGGATGCCGCAGCTTTGATACAGCAACGGTGTTGGCAATCGAAATGCAGCTTAGTGGGGCTTAAGCTATGATCCTTACCAAGTTGCGGAATATGCAAGAATCTCGTGACAATGAGAAGGAGAGTATCGAAATTGAATCAGTCGAGTTTTGCGATGTTATTGGACTTTAGAGGAGGGAAAATGCGTTAAAGGAAGATCAATCAAATTGAATAGGCGTCTTCAAAGAAATGTTAGAATTGTATTTGGATTTGGAACATTGGAAATTAGTGAACGCTTCCAGATAAACAACGAAATATCACACCACGTGATATACTCATACTCTTCATAAAAGGGGCATCCCCGCAATTTACCTACAGTACGTACTTTGGCGCATTGACTCCAGGAAAGCCCTTCCTTTCGTTTCCTTTTTCGCCCAGTAGGTAATAATACCGGTCGGTAAGTGTCTCCTTTATTAACTTCACCCAAGTTCCAAGCCAGCAGACAGCCTCTTCCTTAGTGAGTTGGATTTTTGAGAGAGCTTTGGATTTCAAGCTACTAGGTAGGTATTAGTAGCTACCTAACCTATGAGTTTGAAGGTCAAGCTCAAATAGGTATTGACCGACATCAATACACACCAACAGTAGGAACACGATGTATGAAAAGTAGAAAATTAAAATCAACCGATGAATTTAAATCAATCGAGCATCGTCTCCTAGTAAAAGAATACCTAGTACTTATTAATAAATAATAAATCGGAAACTTTATTCATCCTCAAAACTTCAATAGGGTAATTCTGTCCAGCTCACCATGCAGTTCGGTGTGTGTGTGATCATCTACAAATGTGACTTTATATCATATCATCTAGAAGCTCGCATATGGAAGAAAGGATGATAGCTCCGGCTCTCAAGTAATGCACTCTCACCCCAGCCAGCCCAGCCAAATCCCACCCTCGTAGCCAAAAGACGACCAATACCGCTACCGCTCTCACAAACTTAACTTCTTACAGTCGTCAAGCCCTCAGGGATCGCACAATCTTCCACTTTTTCCCACACTGTGTACTTTCTACTTGTACACCTCCATTCCCACTCCAATAATCCTTGGTGATAATTCACACCTGCATTCACAATCATACTTCATCATCTTGCATTGCTTCCTTTGCGTTGTTGAATTTGTTAATCTGGGGTTAATCGATTTTGATTTTGGCGTGCGCATCTTGTATCGGCACTGTTACAGTTATTTTCGCGGGTAACTATACAATCGGTCTCTTTCGATAACCTTTCTTCCGTGTCCCGTCGCGAATAGACCAAAGCTTCTTCACATACTACTACGACTGTACACTCCTTCCTTCAGCCAACGCGCAACATCTACATCAAGAAGGTATCAATCGTGTCAAGTGTTTTTCATGTAGGAATCCTGTTCCTATTTTCTCTTTAATCCCAATCAAAGATCAACGAAATGTTTGCTAATCGCGTTACCACGAAACAGAGTTACAGTTTATACGAAATCTTCTTCACGAAGTATTTATCACTTTTGGATTTATCCAATCTAATAGTCTATTCGATACTCCCATATCGCCATCCTCTCGAGCCAGTTACTATTGAGCCGGTTATCGTCAAGTCCGTTACTATCGCGATGCCTGCTTCGCGACACTTACCCCCAAAGGTCAATCCTTTGATGACCTCAGAAATCCCATCTTGTAAGATGATGCGCCAGTCGCGTTGATGGTTTGAGGACCAAAACTAACAACCGTCGCAGATGAAACTTTGGTTGCTAGAAGAAGATTGGGTCAGACGGATCTTGCTGTAAAGACAGGTCAACTCAATACTTCGAACTCTACGCGGCCAAAGAACTTGGGCACTTTCGACTACGCGCATTTGCGTGCTCCGTTGCCTAAAGGAATTCACAGTGGTATCTTTAAGCCTTCGCCCGCCTCGTACTTTCTTATGCGCCGTAGCAGTGATGGCTATATCAGCGCGACCGGAATGTTTAAAGCCACATTCCCATACGCGGAGGCCGCGGAAGAGGAAATGGAGCGTCGTTATATTAAGAGCCTGCCAACAACCTCTGTAGATGAGACCGCAGGGAACGTTTGGATCCCACCTCACCATGCGCTCGAGCTTGCAGAAGAATACCAAATCCTGCCCTGGATCAAAGCTCTCCTTGACAACGCGCCCATTGAAGTTAACCCAACTAAAGACCAGACAACTAAATCAATTGTCCCACCTCCAAAGTTTGACTTTAAAGATCTCGCTCCAATTCCCGCACCAAGGCTACTATTAGAAGAGGCACCTCAAATCGCCCCTCCCGAGACCCTTACCGCACCGACTACAAAAAGTGGCCGTCCTCGTCGATCCGCATCACCCAGCAAATATGCATCTACATCTCCTCGTAAGATTGCAAGAGCACGCAAACCAAGCGCTAGGCTAGCAAGTTTGGAGCCTACCGAGACCGCCAACAATGTACTCGAACAAGTTGAGGAAAACGGAGTTGTTGAGGCCGAGAAGCAGAAGGTAGAGACGACAGAACCCGCGGAATCCGCAGAATCCACAGCTTCTGAGCCTGTGAAAGAGTCAGAGAAGGAAGAATCAAGCGAAGTCTCGGAGCCAAAGGTCACAGTCAAAGTTGACACTGATGTTGAGGTTAACGGTGATGTTGAGACGACCCACACTCATGTTCAGGTGGAGATGCCAGCTGGTTCACCAGATCTCTCCCTCCCGGAGGATACTGAAGCTATGATTGCCAAGGCGAAAGAAATGGTGGATGCTGCCGTCAAGCATGACGCAGCTATACCCAGTCGCTCGAAGCAAGTGAAGAGAAAAGCCGAAGAGTTTGAGGCAGACGTGGATGACGAAGAAGAGCCTTCACAAGCTCCAGCTAAGAAGGTCAAGGTAGCGGCCGATTTGAGAAAGGAGAGGGTGAAGACTCGGGCATTGATTGGATTGAGTGCTACTTTGGCAATTGGGTAAGTTTTATTAATTTTGCTTTTCTTCGGATACAGTACTGATAAAAAATCGCAGTGCAATAATTCCATATGTGTTTGGCGCTTTTTAAAGTGATCACGCTGGACATGGGTTGTATATTGTTATGTTTTCTATTTCATCTACTGTTTATTAGTCCAGGGGCGTTCATGACAGGGAGAATGGCTTTTCGGATGACCTTGAAGACCGGTGGACTTGCTGGATATACTACGCAGTGAAAAGAATATTTTTTCGAAGTAGATACTACATACAGCACTAAAAGCCACCACGATTTTGAGGAAAGCGCGGTGTCGTTCTTCTTCGCACAATCATAGTGTTCAGATAGGCAAATCAAATTAATTTGACCACGAATTATCTATTTACGGGACATATAAAGCTGGGTCGAGATCAATTGATGTTGGGCTGGGTGCTAGCACGTTCCTTCTCATTTGGTGAAAATGGAAGGGACGATTCGCGAGGTACCAACAATCAGTGGCAACGTGCCTTCCCAATATACTTAGATTCGTGCTATGTCATCGATATCTTTTCAATTCTCTCCTCCCAAATAAAATCTCTTACTTTAAACCGTTTCTTTTTCCTACAATCATCAATACCTTCTATTACCAAAGAATATGATCAAAGTTATCATTGTTCTCAATTCAAACCTGCAATGAGGCATGATTGTCGGAAATTCTTTTACAAGTCTAAAATATCACGATGGTGCAACTAGATACGCCTACGAGCAGCGAATTGCGAAAACCCATCACTTCACCTTTTGCAGGAGGTATGACTACTGCTCAATTGGAACGAGTGTTACAAACAACTCCTGAAATGAATAGATTTAATCCTTCGAGAAGACGCCTTCAAGCGCTAAAAACTCCTGATGTTCGCACTTCCAAAAGTGAAATCGTCACTGCTAGTGATGAAGTAGCTACGGCTTCAATTCCATCTCCGATTGTTCACCCGCCTGTTTCGCTAATCTGCGAAGATTCGGGAGAGGGAATAAATAATATATCGGCGGCTATACGAGCTGATGATGTACAGGGAAGTGCTTTGAAATCTACTGACTCTATTCCTCCTCCCTGCCACAAAGACATTTTGAGCTCAAAGCAACAAGGTGGAACATTTCCAAAAAGATTCTTGAAAACAATTGCAAAACGCAAACAGTTACGCAGGGGGAAACGCAAAGAGTCTAGAGTCTTCACGTCGCATCCGGTGGAAAAGACATTGAGCACATTCTTCAATGGAGAGAAAAGTGGTCAGCACGAGGGTTTCTCTTCTCAAGAATCTGGTAGCATGGCTAGGGTAGAAACATCGGCACTAAGATTAGAAACTCTCAGTGGTGAAACATCCGGTGACAGTCAGGAATCTATAAGCCTTGAAGAGATCATTCGGATGGCTCCTCGCACATCCACTTCACAGGCAAGGAATGATTTTACACCACGTTATGTTAGTCTATCATTTGGACCTGCACGGCTGGTACGAAGAGCGAATATGAGCTCGGATAATGAGGACGATGATGGTGATGATGATGGTGATGATGGTGATGATGGTGATGATGGTGATGATGGTGATGATGGTGATGATGGTGATGATGGTGATGATGGTGATGATGACCTTAACAAACTTGAAATGGCGATCCTTGGTTTAGGCGATAGTAATGATTCATTCATATCTATGCCTGGCCCAGATGACTCCGATGGTGCTGACATCAAACCCAAATCTCGAGCTGGTCGCCTAAATCGCCAGAAGCAGAAGAAAAAGAAGAAAATTCCTCGAAGGCTCCTGATAGACGAGCTGTACCTAGTATCTGAAAGGGTGGAAGAACTGACCCAGGAGAATGACGTTGAAAGTGGTATGTTCATAATCTCGCAAATTCCATGATACAATACTGATCAGTTATCTAGTACAATCTTTGGGAGAACTACCAGATGATCCAATCTCACAAGACGCCCCAGATGCGCCACAAGTCATAAACACTGTTGGCCGCACAAAGCGCGAATTGAGCACGCTCCAAAGATGGAGCTGCGAAGCCTTTGGAAAGATTGATGCAAGAGAATTTCGGTTCCCAAAACTTGGAAGCACATCTCCTCAGGCAAGAACAGAAAGTCGCCATGAGATGCGCCCGTCCCATTCGGATGGCTTCGTAGGATCTGAAGCAGATTCTACTGGTCAATTTATGGTGTTTTCTAAGCAAAAACGTGTCAACATTGGCATATGGGGACTGACTACTCGGGTAGCACAACTGCAGTTGGTTCGCGAGAAGGACTACGGGCTAGTCGAGGAGTCGAACGACCAAATTAAAAAAAGAACTTCAGCGAGAGTACCCAAGAGACCTCCACAAAAGCAAGCTAAAGTCAATGTGCCAGTTTTCATTGAGCCTAAGGCTCAAGCGGTTGAGATGGGCGATGCTCAACAAATCAACCAGGACAACCAGGACAACCCAGACCATCAAGACCATGACGACGATCAAAAGGGTCGGCCGATGAATGGATATGTCCCTGGTGATGGAATCATCCCAAATGTAGAGAACAAATCGCCGTTGAGACTGCATCGGGAAGTATGTCGAGAAGTCACATTCGATGAGAGGCTCGATGTTAATCAGCGTGCGAGAATGCACTCTTCTAATTCCTTGGTCCGGCGAGATATGGAAATGAAGTTTTCAGAGAGTTGTCACCGTGGAGAGTGTGAGGAGGATGGGCGATCTTGGCATGAATCTGAGCGCAGCGTCGTGAGCATCTCAAGTGATGACGACGACCCCGAAGAAAGCGACGATACCAGTGATAGTAGCAGTGAAGAGTTGAATGAAGGACAGCAGATGGAAGGAGATTCTGATGCTCAAACGACTTCGGCAGAGGACACAGACAGCCAAAGTGACGCTACTAGTATTTCAGTTGCAGAAGAACTAAGTGAGGCTAGTGAGAGTAGTGGTGAAGACATGGATAAAGAGGGTGAGGATGAGGAGGGTGAGGAGAACGAGAAGGGAGAATACTCTACTGTACAGGCGGTATTGGAAGAAGAAATGAACAAACAAATTGATGAGGGTAGAGTCTCCACTGAAAACCCAAGTGGAGCAGGCGAGCCTATCAGCAAAGAGGGCTACAAGCAGTTGAGGAGTGAGGTAGAAATTACCACAGTCTCGTTGTTGGGGGGATCAAACCAGCATAAGGAGAGCTCTCCATTTGAAGATTTGCTGCTGGAAGAATCTCAAAGAACAGAAGCTGGCGCGATTGAAGAGATTGACGACGTTGAGCCATCGCAGCTATCTGTTGCCATGAGTTGGCAGAATACCGCATATGCAATATCAATATCAGAAGCTGATACCTGGAGACCACGTAGACCGAAGCCGAGCTGCGTGGTTAATGAGACAGAAGAAGATATTGTGGACAGTCCAAGCCCGATTTCGATAATCGTCAAAAGAAGAAGATCAGCTGGTCTTCAGACACATAGACGAAGGAGAACATTCAGTAGTCGACCGCTTACCCTTACGACAAGCCGATCCGCCACTCCGCCTGGCCTTGATCTGGGAGAGACTCAGGTTGTGGTACCTGAGGTCCCAGAAACACAATTTGTTGCAGCGGCTCGCGAGATGTCTCCTGAGCTTGGCAAATCGCAAGTGGCCGATTTGTCTAATGAGCTCGAGAACTCGATGATTGACGCACTGCCTCCTGACAACCAGCAAAACTTCTTGCCTCATTTTTCTCAGCTCTCATTTATTCCAGAAGACATACCAGAAGAAAGCTACTTTTACAGGGCTTCCCAATCTTTGAAGGGAGATTTTGGAACACCTAAATCACGAGCTAAGTCGACTCCAGCTCGTTTTTCTCCAGAATATAATCAAGCAATCGTAACTCCTGCCTCGATTCAGCCAGGTGCCGAGACTACGGCGAGTGTATTCTCTGCATCAGGGATATCACCTAAATTCTCACAACAGTCGTATCGACCCACGCCCAGATCAGTAAAAAGTTTGAGCCGTCTTACCAGACAAGCAAGCTTCGCCTTTGGGACTTTGCCGGTTTCTGCCAGGAAGAGGACAAAAACTTTACCATTTGTTCCACCATTCAAAAAGCCAACCTTGCGGATCAAGCGATGAATCATTCGGCCAAACAAATACAGCATACGCTTTAACGTTCTTGCTATTTGATGCGTTGCCCGATAAATGGGGGATGGATGTACCGCTTTTGACAGTTGGGCTGCAAATGGAATGTAATTCGCCATACTGGAGAAACAATTTCTGGAGATTTAAGCTATTAGCAATGGTAGAAAGTAATGAGAGACATTTAGTAGCAATAATCGAAGAGCCGAAGAGCTGATATTCATAGTAAATTATTATTCCGTTCATGGTATTCCCCGAGCTCGACGGGCACATTCACCATTGATGGTCGTATTTCAACTTTTCATCACTTTTTGCCACCTAGATAATGATTTTGCTCTAGATCAGTTGTTATAAGGAAATTTCATTCATTTCCTGTACCAAAACGCCTTGCTAATTGGACAAATTGGGCAGATATGTACACTACAATATCGTTTCTGCACTAGCAATTTCATCATGTAATCTATAAATTATTTTGCACCCTTTCCCTTCGCCTCATTCTCGCCAAGCTCCCTTATATACACTTTAGTTAACCCTTCTCCGGTGTAATCTTCTTGTCCATTCTCGAATCCTGGACATACGCCCACGGCTAAATATCTCCCATCACTTGAGAATGAGAGAGCAGCAACACTTGCTGGGTATTTTTGGTACTGCCTAATTCTCCTTTTCGCCACGGCGTCCCACAGTGCAACCACTCCATCGCCGCCTCCAGATGCAAATGTACCGTGAGTGGGGTGGAATGCTAGCGCATTGACCGGATATACAATATCGGTGCCATCGCCCGCTGCATCGGGTTGACGATGACATTTGAAAGCGTATTTGCGGGCTTGAGAATCGGGTGAGGGATCAAACCATTCCACCGCGACACGGCCTTCGATAGAGGAGGAGGCATATCCGTCATCGTTAGGCATGCAAGCTACAGCGCGGGTCATGAATTTAAGGGAGGATTCGCGTTGTTGCCAGGGTTTTTGGGAGGGGTCGGTGGAGCACGGGAGGGAATAGATGTATAGGGAGGCGGGATGACATGGCGACTACTAGTTTTGTGGGAGTGAGAGAAAGGGAGTGCGGTTTGGATGGGAGGGGGATTGTCGTTGGGGACTGCGATGGGTCGGAAAGGTTATGGATGTGGAGGGTTTGATCCCAGGACGCGGAGATGAGGAGAGCTAGATGAGATTAATACTCTGTAACAATTGACGCGAACGACAATGCTGAAACCTACAATGCTCTTTACTATAAACCACTGACTTCACCGGCGCCTCATGCGTACTCAGCACTGTCTGTTCTCCGCTTTCCAAATTAATCCTGCGACACATTAGCATGCCAATCCAAATTGAACGTACACAGATGGGCAAACGCACCGTTTCACCTGCCAATCCATTCCAGCTGTAAATGCTTCATTCTCATCACCTCCGAAACAAACATCTAAAACCGGCGCGCGATGCTCATAAGTTCTAACGAGCTTTCCCCCTTCGGAAACACTTTCTGTGTTGTATAGATAGACCTTTTTATCCCAAGAGGATACCAGTAATTTGGTTGGGGTATAAGGCGAAAATTGTAGAGAAGAAACAGCATCGGTAGGAGGCTCTGAGAGCTCGAATTGAACTGCTAGAAAGATATATTAGTACCCTTGCGTGAGCTTGGAGAATGCAGGGCTTGGTTACCTGGCGCCATGATTGTATGGGCTTCGAATGATAGTAAAGATAATGCGGAAATTTCTATGCGCGCAAGATCCAAGATTTTAGAGCTATGAGCTTTTCAAAAGAGTGTCTTGTCAATGATAAGGATTCAGTAATTGCGCACTTTGCGACGATAGTGGTCTGGTCCTTGTGAAATATTTAGATTGATCTCGACTTCTGTATGAGGTTTAGTGCGACAATTCTGCCCTGTTCACCGCCAGTAATGTTTATCAGCCTTGCATTAAGCCTTTCAACTTTTGCCAAAAGTGCCCCTCTCCAAACTCAACAACCATTCTTCCAATATTCCCAAAACAGTTTTTTTAAGATCGTGAAACTCTAGGCTTTCCAAATCTACGATAGAGTTACTACATTTTCCAAAAACCTCAAAGTTGAAGGTGTCGACAGACGTGCAACAAAACCTTTGGAAGTTCTGAGGGTAGGTAAGCTAAATTGGTGGTGGGCTACAATCTCGCAAGTTTCGCACTGCTTCGACCTCATATCTATGAAATTTACGGCAGCCTTTGGATATTTCATATACAGGAAGGATTATTGAAGGGTTGTATCATCGCTATTTAGTGCAATAAGGGAAAGATTCGGATTCCTACTCACACCTCTCACCCACGAGTCGCCCCTCATTATCATCCTACGATCATCGCAAATTAGAACCGCCATCTTACTCACATAAAGCACAATATGCCTTTCGCACAGCTCGTCCTCGGCTCTCCTGGTGCTGGGAAATCTACCTACTGTAATGGTATGCAACAATTCATGTCTGCCATTGGACGAAAATGTTCTATTGTGAATCTCGACCCTGCGAATGACCATACGAGCTATCCTTGCGCCATCGACGTGCGCAATCTTATAAAGCTTGAAGAGATTATGGAAGAAGATTCACTAGGGCCCAATGGTGGCGTACTCTATGCTCTTGAGGAATTAGAACAGAACATCGAGTGGTTGGAAGAAGGGTTGTCGGAGCTGGGCGAGGATTATGTACTTTTTGATTGTCCAGGCCAGGTCGAGCTTTACACACATCATTCGTCTTTACGAAATATATTTTTTAGGTTACAGAAATTAGGATATAGAGTATGTTATTCAGTTTGCGATTGGATGGCTACTTTAGGGAGTCAATATGCTGACATTTGTGCAGCTCGTAGTTCTTCATCTTTCCGATTCCTATTGCTTGACTTTGCCTTCATTATACATCTCGAACCTTATCCTCTCACTGCGAGCAATGCTACAAATGGATTTACCGCATCTGAATGTCTTGACAAAAATGGACAAGCTGGCTTCGTATCCACCACTTCCTTTCAACTTAGATTTTTATACTGAAGTCCAAGATCTGTCATATTTACTCCCTAGTCTTCAAGAAGAATCATCTGTAATGCAAGGCTCAAAGTTCGAAGGTCTGAATAAAGCTATCATTCAGCTTGTTGAGGATTTCGGGTTGGTGGGATTCGAGACGTTGGCGGTGGAGGATAAAAGGAGTATGATGCATCTACTGCAAGTCATAGATCGTGCCGGGGGATATGCTTTTGGTGGCGCGGAGGGAGCAAACGATTCAGTCTGGCAGGTGGCTATGAGAGAAGGTACCACAACGATGGATATAAAAGATGTTCAGGAGCGATGGATCGATCGCAAGGAAGAGTACGATGAGGCATATCGTGAGATGGATAGGAAGCAGTTTGAGGAAGAATCCAAGATCCAAGAAGAGGATGAGAATTCGAGAGCCGCAGAAGATGATGACGATCTCGAGGAGATGGCTCGGGCACCGTTCGATTCGGGAGTAAAAGTTGTTAGAACAAATCAATGATACCTCATCCATTTCCATCGCTTAATTCTTCATCTTCATCACTATCCACCGCATCCACCATCATTACATCTTTCGTAGATTCTGCCGTGGTCCCCTTGTTTGTGCTAAACATCTTCTCCAGTGTAGATTCGCTTTGTTCCCCTAGGTCTCGGCGAGCCTTTAATATCATCTCCCTCGCCCTTCTGATAGCTTCCTCCTCCGCCTTTCTTATCGTTCCACTTACCCTCACAACCCTGAATACACAATTCTTCCCATTCTTAATAGGTAAACTATTCATCAGCGACAAAGCCGCCCATACAATCCTATAATGCGCTCGTGAAACCCGTAGAATAAATGTCGATGTCGCAGATGACAAATATTTCACTGCATTCCAATCAGTAACCAGTTCATAAATTTTTAATTTTTTTTGGACAAGAGAAATGACAAACCAGCAATACTATCCGCAATCGCACCACTTCCGTAATCTCCAAACAGATTCGCAACTTCCATCTGGATTCCCCTCAGTAGTGCGCGCGAGTTCAGCGCATCAACAGTTGGTTGATTGAATACCACTACGTCTGGCAGATTTTCCTTGCCGGTGGTATTCTTCTCGAGTTCTGGATAGAGGATATTCACCAGAAGGTATCGGTTTTTAATTCGTACCATGGTTGTTGAGGCTTAATTGATTGATTGATTTGAAGCGCGCTGGAACAAAAAAAAAAAGCCTGGGAGACGCGATTTCTTGTGACGTCGGCTTTTTCCCCATCAAAGGTGTGCTTGGGTCGGAACGGTAAGTGGGGAAGCTTGGGAGGGGAAGAGTGATGATTAGAACATCAACTTTCTCGACGAGATAAATCGAAAATGGATAAACAGACTTTTAAAGCTGCGATACTTATTGTATCTACTACTGCAGCTAAAGATGCATCAACAGACTCCTCAAGGCCTGTCTTGAGAGATGTCTTTGAGGGCACACATGGCATGTGGGAAGTTGTAGAAACGAAGATAGTGAGTGATAATGTGATGGATATTCAGAGAAGTGTGATGTCTTGGACGGATCAGGAGAATACTATCAATGTTGTGATTACTACCGGCGGGACTGGGTTCGCCGTCTCAGACAATACTCCTGAGGTAAGCTTAGTGCAGCTTTAAATGCAGCATGTTACGCATGCTAAAATGCATTATCATAGGCGATTATACCACTTTTACACAAGCAAGCTCCTGGACTTGTTCATGGGATGCTTGCAGCTTCATTGGCAGTCACTCCTTGTATGTACGGAAGTCCTACGGCACCAATAGTTAATTGACTGGTAATAGTTGCTCTCATGTCAAGGCCTGTAGCAGGCGTTCGCAATAGGACAATCATCATCACATTACCAGGATCACCAAAGGGAGCAAAGGAAAACCTTCAATCAATATTGAATCTTTTACCACATGCTTGCCTTCAGGCTGCAGGAGCCAATTCCCGAGCTCTTCATGTAGGAGGCGTGAGAAGGCTTGAGAAAGATGCCGGCGTTAGTTCTGCTGGGTCTTCTCCCCCAGTACATTCGCATAACCATGGCCACTCCCATAGTCATTCGCATGGCCATGGTCATAGCCATGATCATAATCATGGGCATGTAATGCCCGTTAGACACACTGCCTCAGATGGAAATCCTCGGTCAAACGATCCTGCTCTAGGTCCAACACAAAGGAGTCGTTCATCGCCATACCCTATGCTATCTGTCGATGAAGCTCTAAAACTAATTGAGAAGTATACACCTCCACCACAAGCTGTGAAAGTGGACGTAGATGGAGGCATTGTAGGGTCTGTTCTTGCGGAAGATGTGACAGCAAGTGAGGCTGTGCCAGCATATCGCGCTAGTATTGTAGATGGATATGCCGTGATTGCTACAGAAGGTAAATCGAATAGAGGCGTGTTCCCTGTAGCATCGATATCTCACGCCACCGCGGGTGAGCATCCTCAGCTGCAGGAAGGTCAGATTGCACGTATTACAACTGGTGCGCCTCTCCCGCCAGGAGCTACTTCAGTGGTAATGGTGGAAGATACTGTGCTAAAGACGATGACCGAAGATGGTAGGGAGGAGAAAGAAGTAGAAATTTTAGCCGATGGAGTAAAGCCTGGTGAGAATGTCAGAGAAGTCGGTAGTGATATTAAAGCAGGGTCTGTCATTATGCGCAAAGGGGAAGAAATATCTGCCAATGGTGGTGAACTGGGTCTACTCGCATCCGTAGGTAGAGCTGAAGTTACTGTTTACAGGAAACCAATAGTCGGTGTTCTTTCCACTGGAGACGAAATCGTCGAACATAACAAGCCTGGCTCTCTCAGGATGGGAGAAGTTCGTGACTGTAATAGACCGACAATCATGGCAGCGGTACGAGGTCTAGGATTCGAAGTCGTAGATCTCGGCATCGCTCGGGATAAATCCGGGGACCTAGAACAAACACTGCGAGATGGACTTCGTAGCGCTGATGTTGTCATAACCACAGGTGGTGTATCTATGGGTGAACTTGATCTCCTCAAACCAACTATTGAGAGATCATTGGGTGGAACGATTCATTTCGGACGTGTTTCGATGAAACCAGGAAAGCCTACAACCTTCGCAACAGTGCCAGTGAAGGACAATGATGGTGAAAGAGTCTCTAAGGTCATATTTTCTTTGCCTGGAAACCCAGTTTCCGCTATAGTTACTCTTCATCTGTTTGTTCTTCCTTCTCTACATCACGCTTCTGGAATATCCCCTGTAGGATTACCAAAACTTCCGGTAACTCTATCACACGAGTTTCGTTTAGACCCTCAAAGGGTCGAATACCATAGAGCGATTGTAACAATGGGCAAGGATGGTCTTTTGTACGCAAGTAGCACTGGTATGCAGCGTAGCTCAAGGGTTGGAAGCTTGAAGAGTGCAAATGCATTATTATGCTTGCCAATCGGATCGGAGGGTTTACCGAAGGGGACAGGGGTTGAAGCAATTCTGCTGGGTAGAATCAGGAGTGAACATGAATTTCAGTAGTTTTTCAAACCTAGAAGCAAGAAAAGAAAGAAAAGAAAATTCACTCGAGATGCGTGCTGGAGACTGGACATATTGTCATGTCATTGGAAGTGAAATCACTTGAATGAGTCAAAAGTGAATTAAAATGTCCTCATTCTCGAAGTGGAAGGAACTCTCCCCCTCTCCTCCATTATAGGCGTTGAGGTTCTAGAACATCCTTACACATGCTCCTTTTCTTTCCTTCACAAACACTTTCAAGTTCTGTCTGGAATCCTTTTTTTCTTCACAACTTTGATAATATTCCTTCATTTAGATACCTAGTACACATCCTACACAATGTGTCAATTCGAGTATTTTCAATATCAAAAATGTGGCCATAAAGCTATTGAAATCTCCGAATATTGCAATATAGTTTTCTGGAGAGCAGGCATGACATCTCACCTTACACCATGTCCCGAACAAAACTTCAGAGCATTTTTCGTCAGAATCGGTACCTTAGATGGTTTGGACTTTGGTACTTGTAAATGGATCGGACTAAGTGGATATTGCAAGATATGTGAAAAAGAATCCCATGTAAGTGCAGTCATGGTGCGATCTCCCGTATATGCTTGGTCGAGGTCACAGACGAAGGACTGGCAGCTATGCATAACTGCCTCATTCATAGTTGAATGAATACCACGAGCGTCATCATATCATTAATTCTTTGCAGATGCCAAAAGCCATTCCCTACCGCACCTATGAAGACTATGAGTTTCTTGAAGGTATTGGCGATCTCACTGGCGCTATCTTCGCTGTCAAATTAGCTGAACCGATCACATACCCTCCTCCGTCTCAATCAATACAATATTCCTCTACTCCGAATGAGTTTGTTACCAAAGAATTCCTGGAAAAGGAGATAGCCAAACCTCCAAGTCCACCACGTGAGTGAAGCGACCCTTTCAATCCATTACCTTTGAATGCTTCAGCTTTTAGATCGTCCCTCGCTTTTTAGTGTTGGCCAAACTTACCGTCTCTTTTCAATGGATTCCTTCAAAAGTATTAACCTTCCCGTTCTGTAGATGAGACAACTCCCGCCACTGGAGAAAACTTGCTGTCGCGTAGACTCAAGACTTCATTACACCATCCTTATATTTTCAGCCCCTATATTAAAAATACTATTGCAGCTTTAATCTCGGTTGAAGACCAGGACATCTCGACTTTGCTATCGATTCAAGACAAGGATATTCCAGAGGGAGCTCAAGAAAAGGGCACCATAAAGGAATTACGAGAACTCTACTTTCCTGCAAAGCTCCAAATGTACGAACTTAACCAAGGTGTCGATGGTGTCACTGATCAATGGAGAAACCAAGGCTATTATGGTGGCCGAATGTTAGAAGGTGTACCACCCAGCCAGTACTTTTGGGACCATGTAGGAATGACCCCTGGAGATGAGCAGTATCTCGTGGATAGGTTAAAGGATGGCATACCATTACTAATTGTCTGGCGGTAAGTTCGACGCATTTTCTAATTGTGGTGTTCTTACTCATCTGAGCACTCACTCTCTTGGTTCGAGTGCAAGACTTGTGAGTTCAAAAGCTGACTGCCCTCTCATAGAGAGAAGTTCAAGGAGAGAGGAATGGACCTCCCTATGTTTTACCAATACGGCCGAAAGTTGGAGGAGCACTTTCAATGTCGCGTTGTGCGGGCCAACTCCAGGATGGGAAAGATCGAAAAAGAACTCAGCGAAAGATCCCAAGCAGCCGATGGTATTCAACCATTTGGTACATATCAACAAAATTCGAGCAGTGGTTTGCAGTCCAGCCAAGAACTATCACAGCGTCAGATTAGTCCTTTTGGATATAACTTAGATTACCTCCACCAACAACGTCTGCAGCAGCAAATGCAACAAATACAGCAACAGAGGATGAAACAGATGGTGGAGCAGCAGATGGTTCGACGGCGGATGATTCAACAGCAGCAGGCCCAACAACAATCGATGTGGCAGCACCAAATGCAACAACGATTGCAGGATCAACAACAGCAGTTTTTCAGCAAAGAGAAGGGACAGATAGCAGTCGTAGAGGAAGTCGAGATAGTGGAGACATGAGGCAGAGGTTTTCTGAAAGATGGTGGATAGAGCAATTTGATAAAGAAATACGATCCGTTATTGAACAGCACCGTTTAGGGTGCTTGAGCGTATTCGAATACGATGTGTGGGTATAAATCACCGCTTTCTGGCATGGATTCTGACTTAGAGGCGTCCAGCCATTATCCAGCAGATGGTAGCTTCGCGGTACCCGCTGCAGTCGGAAGCTTATGAAAATTGCACTTTGGCACTGCATGTATGAGAGCATGTAAGTTCCATTTACTACAATGGCAGATTTGATAATACAGTCTAGCACTACCACCGTTTAATAAGAGTAATATTAATGCGTGCTTGCCTAAAATCCCAAGAATGCTTAAAATCGATTTCTACCTGAACGCCGTTCGTCGACTTCTACTTGGTTGTTATACACGTACACAACAGTCATTTATCTAACACCTCTTTCCATTTCATTGAAATTCTCCTTCGTCCACCGCTTATTCTCTATTCGAAGTCTGGTGCCTTTGATGATACTAACAAGCCGATGATGAGACCAAAAAGTCCAAGAACAGAACTGAAGATCTCGATGACTAAAATCTTGACGAATCTAGCATGAATTAGCATATACACCACGGTTCGATGTGCTTATTCACTTACAAGCTTGGATCAGCAGCATCTGCCAAAGCAGCACCACTACCGTTGATGCCCACCGAAACACCGCATATCAAGTTGCACATTCCCACTGTTATGCCAGACCAGAATAAAGCGTATCCAGTATAATAATTGCTAGCAGAGTATATATTCTCGCTTTCCATGAGACCGAGCTTTGAGGAAAAGACGATGGACATAATGACGCCGTAAATGGCGACTACCTCGCAGAAAATGATGGAGATAAGATTCTTGGTTCGAATGCGAGGAGCTTTAACACCACCACCAAGGATCGAAGAACCGGTTATAAGGATTCCCCTGAATATGTGTGAGCTCAATTTCAAGGATGAGGGGCGAAGCTATTCTGTACCATGCTGCCCCAACAACTGACAATCCTATACACATGCCGATACCCATATCTGCCCACGCATACGGCGATATTTCTTCGAGAAATTGTCCGACCTATTGTTCGTATTAATGAACGCTATGCTTGAATCGCTCTGCGAAATTCATACATTGAAAGCTTCTCCATCGCCAGTAAAGAGCATGTCTAAGTAGCAGCACTGGTTAGCTTTAATTCATCAAATCAAGCAGGAGTTTAAAACTTACAAGCCCCGACCACTGCCAGTGCTGTGGTAGCACCACCAATTCCATATGTAAGGCTCATCTTGTCCAGATAATCTTCGTCGACCAAATGAAAGGAATTGGGTGTTGATCGTTGTCAGCGAAGCTGTACAATGATTTGCGTTGGTCTGTCGAGTTCGAACCGAGAGAGCAACCTGAATCGCCGCCCGTAGCTAGCGCCAAACGCCGCGAAATCAGCCGCTTACTTCAGCCTCCCTCCATATATAAACAACAAACATTGACGACATCACTTTTCTCTCTTCAACCGCAAATCTCGAGTACAATCATACAAGATGGCGGCTCCACAGTCTTTCTACGAGCTATACCGCCGTAGCAGGTACTGTGCCTTATTTTGCTACACAAGTACATAAATCTTTCTACATTTACTGACAAAGCATTAAGTATCGGCATGGCGCTCACAGATACCCTTGACGATCTGATCAGCGAGAGACGTATCGAGCCTCAACTCGCAATGAAAATATTGGCAAACTTTGATAGGAGTATCACGGAGGTTTTAGCAGATAAAGTCAAGGCCAGATTGACGTTTAAGGTACATGCGCTCGGGGGCTTGCAGGAAATATCATTCTTCGACGTTGGTGTGCGACAATGAAAGAACAATTTAGCTAACTTGATGATGAAGGGACATCTCGATACATATCGTTTCTGCGACGAGGTCTGGACTTTCTTGATTAAGGATGTTACTTTCAAGATGGAGAACTCCAGTCAATCAGTCACGGCTGATAAAGTCAAGATTGTGAGCTGCAACAGCAAGAAACCCGGTGATCCTCAGTAAACAAGACGTGGAGGACGAACATTCACGGAAGTGCAACATTTTTATTGGGAAGTGGAGGCGGGAATGGCAATTAAGAATGGATGATTGAGAATGATTTCCGGGATGATAAACGATGGTTTTCACAGATTGGGCTCTTCAATGACTTTAGAGGAAGGATATATCTGGCGTTTATTGGTTCCCGTGGCGTTTCCTGGCACCTTTTCGGAGAATGAAGAAAGCATAGCTCTCTCGTTCGTACGTATCTGCACATTATCAAAATTATAGACGTCGCAATTTGATGCGATGCTAATCTAATAACAGAATCTAATCAGGTCTGTTTACCAATATTTCTTAGTGTCACTATGCTTCTGTAAAAGTCGATTAGAAAGCGCGAAATAAGAAGACCAAAGCCATTCCAACGCAGCCTTTCATTGTTCAAATTGCTATGAGCAATTGAGAAAGTGCCTCGGGGAACAAGATGAGTGTCACCGAGAAATTCCCAACGGTGAAATCGTTACTCATGTTACTAGCAATGTATGGTGGGGGGCTTGACTATAAGCTATACCGGTAGAGTACGGGTGTTGCATCAATATACCCTTCTCCACTCTACCTTCTCACTTCCTCTTCATTTCCTGAGGCGAAATTTCAATCATCAAGATTATTTTGGATATTGAAATGCTTCGCGGGGTAAGTAACCTTCTTATAGTTTGAGATTTAAAAGTAAACAAACCCAAGCCAAAGCTCTCAACACGAACACTTCCTAGGTTACTAATGATATACAGTGGCCTGAGCTCATGTATCTTCTCTTCGAGTTCCTTGATTTATTCATATTGAAGAATGTATCATTCCCAATTCTCATTGGAATCGTCTATCTCAAAAATTCTCAGCTTGTCATTGAACGCAGCCGAAGTGTGAAATCAATTCTGGTTTGAGAATTGACCAACATCACACTACTTGGTATTAATCAATTAATCACATTTGATGGTTGTGATCTAAACTATGAGGGGCACCCCATAGTATAGCTCTCATACATTACTCGCTATTCATGGTCTTAACCATTTACCTACTAGCTATTAGCTATTAGTTTGGCCTCTATGATAGCGTGCCCATCTCCCACTCAACGTCATTCGAACAGGATTTTCTTTCCTCCATCAATACCCCATCTCAATTACAAATTATCATCCTCAAATTCCAAAGCCATGCATTCACCATTGCCAGCGATCAAGAAGTTCTGCCGAGCTGCCAAAAGCATGGTGAAACGCAAAAGGAAATCAAAGCGTCCTACTCCAGCTAGAACTGACTTGGCTATTACGTCAGTAACGATACCGACCCAGAATGATGGTGCGCCCACATCTCCTTCTTTCTCCATGGGATCTATGGTTACTTGCGCGGAAGGCTCGTGGTATAGTGCACCAAGCGATATATTCGAGAGAGTAGTTGGATTCCAGGATGCTTTTCCCAACGGGGAAGCGTCCTGGGGTGAAGAATATGAAGAATATGAGGAATATATGGGATATGGGGAATATGTGGAATATGAGGAGTATGAGGAGTATAAAGAGCATGAAGAGTATGGAGAATATGAGGAGGAATATGAGGAAAATGAAGAACGTGAAGAAAACGAACACGAGTATTTTTGGGAAGAAATGTGTGAATTTTTCCATGCGGAAGGAGATGTCGAGAACGTATTGAACGCAGTTGCGGATGCGCTTCGTGTCGATGCGTTTAGGTTAACAAGCTGTACTTCAATCGGCTCAAATAATTCTGGGATAGATTTATTCAATCATGAAAGATTTAAAACTCTTCCCTCATTCCCTCTATCTGAGCTCGATGAAGAAGAGATGGAAACAATGCAGCAGCACGTCGATATACCTTTGGAAAAGCTAGAGGAACAGGAAGCTGAAAAGACTTCGATGAGTTTGATGCGAACGATTAGCAACACGTGGACTGAGGTTAAAATGAACCTGCGCTCGAAAATATCTATTCGGTCTTTCCAGTCAAAGGCTACTTGAGATCTATCGGTTTCGCTTGCGAGATACGGAGCTCCTTGTAGCCAACATTTCCTGCATCTTTACCTGAGCTCGTACTGTTGATACAGCTATTCCGAAGATTATCGCCGGACGCAAAGATTTTCCCGGTGTCTTGGGACTAGGGAGAAATTGCCCTGAGTTTCACTGAACATCTCAAATCTCCGCTATTTTATCCATAAATCTACACTCAACGCCACTTGTTCCATATTCTATGCTCTAGAAAACAGCAACTTTCATCCGCGCAATCAAATAACAGTCCCAATCAAGTTCTAGACATTTAACATGCGACTGTTCGACCCTGGCCCTTACCTTGGAATCCTTCAAATAAAACGGGTAACGCATCGGCCCAGACAATGCAGAAGCAAAGACGATATTATACTGGGCCGTGGCACGATTATTTCGCCGAGGGAACTGCAACTTTTAAGTATGTATACAGGGGGTTGGGAGAATGTGAACAGCGGGGAAAGGATGTATGGACCGCAATGCTACTCTATTCCCCGTCTATAGCCGCTCCACTACTATTCATGGAAAGACATTCATGGCAGCCACGCAGGGCAGAGAAAGAAAAGATCGCCTGAATTTGATATCGTCACGTTGAAGTCGAGGTCTCGAAAAAGTGTGGTAGAGGGACTGAAGAAAGAGTCTTGGGGTATTCTACGTGGCATATTGATTTCTAGATAGAGCGAATATGTAAATTGAATACAGTCATGTTGGATATAAATATATGGGAAAATGTAGGGAATCTAAGGAGTATTAGTATCAAGAAGTTAGAAGTCATATAAACAGCAATCTCAACTCATTGTTCAGTTTTCACACCGTGATTTAACTTGAAAGCGGATATAGCAGCTAGAATAGTATCAAAAAACATACGGGAGGAAAATTTGCAAGGATTTGGGCGCGAACACAGACCTGGACTTCTTCTCTTGGGCTTAATAGAATTCACAATTTCTACATTGGTTCCAGGAGCTCATAAGTTGTCACCCAGGAGTGCGACTGGCTGGATGTAGTTCCTTCTATAGATGAAGGTAGGTTATATGTGGTTCTCGTCGATGTGAAGATGGTATGGACCGGCAATGTGCTTGAATGTAGCTCCTTTCCAGAACTTGAGAATAGAGTAGTTCTGCAGAGGTCGCTGGTGACTATCAGGATAATAGCTCATATTAGGTGTGCTATTAAAGCCATGGCACATGTTCACGATATGGTAAGCAGTTCAAGGCATTTCTAATTTCATGCTGACTGAAAAAGTTCACAGGCGTGCAATTTTATCATCTTCTTACTACTCTTCATGATCGGAAGGACGATGAAGCGGTTCAAATTCTCAAAAGTTGGTGCTTGTCGATAGTTCCTGAATCCAAAAGTCTCACAGATGAGATGGTCCTTCCAACCACTGGGGCTCAGTGGTGGTCGCCTGCCTAGATCTGCATATGTACGCCATGCTCCTCCTATGGAACTCAACGAGAGCAGTGGCGTTCTCTTCTTTACAAGGCTGGCTATGGAATTAAAGAGATCAAGACCCAGAGCTCCATTATGAGAAATTCTATAACCATCACACAACCCGAATAAGCGAAGGGTGTTATATCCATCTATACATTAGTTTGGAAAGGAGAGATGATAGAGAAGAGGAGAGGGTAATGATCAAGCTTCGAGTACCATTATACCATAATGGCATTTAGTATATTGCAGTATAGAGATGGCGAGAACTCTGACGTAGGCCAATCCAAGTAAACCGTAAAAGTCCTTGATGCTTCTGAAAATATGGTGTTTTGCACAGAATCTGATGAAGTTCAAGAAGGTGCAACGCATGCGACTGACTTACTAGTTCAGACAAAGCAATAAATCTTCTTTAGGAAAAAGCCAAAATAACTTGTACACATCTTTCACACTGATAGAATTACAAGCAAAACTCTACCGTGACATAGACAATTTCAAAACGTCGTAAAATTACCCATGTTCAAGCATCAAGGCAATACTCACGATTACTTCCGGGCACCGTAACTCACTACATCAGCCCAAACCACACCTAAACAAAGGGATAAACAGTTACCGCGACCCTAACCATAAGCAAACTCCAGGCATTCTCACCATGCTCCGCCCAACCAAACGCAAAACCCTCTCCTCCTCCACCTCCACCTCCGAATCCGACAATCGCGAGCTCTCGGCATTCGTAGACAGGCCCGCCGCTACAACAACAGCTCTCACTTCCAACACTCTCCGTGACGGAAGTGAATCCACCACAACCGCTACAATTATGGCCGAGGAAACCATTGGTGGACCGGATGATCCTCGTAAACCCCTCTTAGGTGCAACAGGAGCAGGGATTAGGCTTAAGCTTCCGGCTAAGAATAGGATTATCAATGATGGATCTTATAGTGCTACTGCGGGTTCGAAATCGATTGCTTCTTTACATTGTGAAGGGAGAGACGAATTAGAGTTGGAAGAACAAGACGGCGAAGACGACGACGACGAAGAAGAAGAAGAGGAGGTACAGGAACAGGAACATACCATGGAAAATATTAGTCGGAAATCGCAATGGATTTTATTGGCTGTGGCTAGTGGTGCTTGTGCGGCTTTCAACGGGGTTTTTGCTAAATTGTAGGTTGCGGTTTTACTTTTTGGTAATATTGTGTCACATTTCTTGTACGGATTTGGCTATGCCGCGGATGGAAGGGAATAGGATATGAGGGCTGCGCTTTATCTTGTGTGTGCGAGCATTGGAGTACTTCCCGCAAAGCTATACGGAACGAACGGCTATGTTATTGCTAGGATTATGCGCTGACACTACATACATAGAACGACGACACAATTAACGACTTCTTTTGCAGAGCACGTTGCAGGATTTTTCGGTTTGGGGAAGGGTGAAAAGGTGGTTGAATATGGTGTGCGAGGAGTGAGTCTCCGGTTTTTATCATTCAGTCGATGTCTCTGAAAGTAACTCTTCATGTGAAAATGCAACATCAGCATAACCAAGACATCATGATATATTGACTTGCTAACCCATAGCTCTAATAGATATTTTTCCTCCTCAACCTCGTCTTCAATGGTATAATGTGGACGCTCTTTATCAAAGCCCTCGCGCGGGGTACCTCGACTGTACAAGTCTCCATTATAAATACATCATCCAATTTCATGATAACGGCCGTTCTTGGCTTTATAATCTTCTCGGAAAGTTTACCACCATTATGGTTTTTGGGTGCGGCATTACTAGTTGCTGGAAATGTGATTATCGGCAGACGAGAAGAGGAAGAGGATAGTAGTGGAAACGATATGGAGAATGGAGAGAGCAGAAGAAGAAGCGGTAGCGAAGGAGAAGAAAGAGAAGGACTCTTAGGTGAAGAATTAGAACTGAATGGAGGCATTGTGGAAGAAGCAGATGGAAATATTAGAACAGACGATGATGTTTTGGATTTGGGATTGGATGATGAGGGGAAGAGTGATGAGGAGGAGGATTTGTTAATCCATTGATTTTGGAAATTCATCACTTTTATAGATGTGTACATTGAATATATGGTAGAATATGGGTAGTTAGACTTGGAATATTGTTTGGCGTTTGGATTTGGATATGGTCAATGTAGTATGAGGGTATGATGGTTAGAACTCTTACCTAGTACTTGCAACTTCTTCTTCTATACCCCAGTTGTATTTATCGAATTTTTTATTAGAGAACCCTTTGGGTCCGGGAATGGGATACATTGTATCATTTAGTTTAGTTTGGATACTCTACCATCAAAAAGTATTATCCGTCCGTAGCCTTTTCGTCCGATAGTATGTATAAAGGGCTCATCAAACTGGTTCAAGCAAAGGAAGAGTTAGAGTGTAGTGCAGCGTTTCATTAAATAACAAATGCATAAATGTTCAATCCATGTACTTACGTAGTATGCTTTTCTGTACAAACCCTGGCTTCATGATTCATTTAGCCAAAAGGGAAATAGGAATCATCTCGTCAATCTAGTAAAATCCTCATACATCCACGTACCCATCATGACATCCAGATTTTATCCATCTACACAAAAGGAAACGCCCTCCCCACTCACTTTACCAACCCGTCCAACACCAAGTGTTATACAAGCCCAACCAAATCCACGCAATCCAAACGACGCTCAACGCAACAATCTCAAAACATCACCCATTCTCGTCTCCTTCCTCTTTCCTCTACCCTCCCTCGCCTTCTCCTGAAACGCCTTCCCAGCCAATTTTCTCTTTTCCCCCTGAATCTCCAACACTCTCTCCTCAATACTTCCCTCCATCACCAATCTCCAAACCTTGCAGTCACGCTTCTGTCCCAGACGATACACACGATCTACAGCTTGATCTTCGATTGCCGGAGCCCACCAGGAATCTGCAAGGATAACCGTATCAGCCGACACTAGATTAAGACCTACGGAACAAACTGCCAAACTGGCGAGGAGGACACGACATTCGGGATCGGATTCGAGGGATTGCATGCCTTTGTCACGTTGTGGGGCGGTCATGGATCCATCGATACGAGCGAATTTGATTCCGGATTGCTCGAGTTGTTTTTGAATGATGTTGAGGAAAGAGGTCCATTGGGAGAAAATGACGACCTTTGAAAGCGGATCATTGTGTGTGACTTTGATGATTTGCATGAGAGCTTCCGTCTTGGAAGATTTTTCATCCGTGTTAATTTCCTCAGCTTCTGCCTTTTCGACGGCGGGGCGAACGAGGCATTCGTTGTTTGCCAAGTCGGCTCGACACATGGGGCATTTGTGTTGCAAGTCGATGGTGCGCTCGATACATTCTTTTCCGAAAACGTGCTTGCAGACCGTGATGACGGGGTCGTGGAGTTCCTCGAGACAGATGGCACATTCTTCATGGTTGTCGATGTTAAGTTGGAGGAGCATCTGTAGGGCAAGTCTATTCTCCTCGTTAAGAATAACAACATCATCTTTCTCAATAGCTTCCATGAGGCTGGTAACTCTGTTCTCGCAAAGTTTCCAATGATTGCATACTTGACGCATACGAAGGAGGATCTCAAGAATGTGAGTGTATGAAATGGTGTTCTTCTTGCGAGATTCTGATTCCTTTTGATATTGTTGAGCCATACCTTGAGCTTGTTTACTATTTTGCTGTCAGCTACTGGCATCAGGATATTTGGTGTTATCACTTACACCAAAGCTTCATAGACTTTTAGTTCATCATCTCTAAACTTGACCTTGTGGACGAACTCTGACAAGTCAGGTAATTTTAGATCGACAAACTTCATATCCTTCTTACGTCGCAAGCACATAGCTCTCATCGTTGTTTGCAAAAGCACTTCCGCATCACGGCTTCCCAATGCCCTAAACGTAAATTAGCATTAGTAGCAATGTGATGCTCCTCCTTTGATTTGCTTGGAGAAATTGAGTGAACACTTACAATGGGCGAGTAAACACTGAGTTAAAGATGTCAAGTTCTTGGAGACCACCACTGACACCTAAGAATTTTAGCATGGAGTAAAAGTCCTTTATAGTATTAACAATTGGTGTTCCTGTTAAAACCCATCGGGAGGTTGCAGTGATACTCGTTGCTGCAATGGCACTCTTTGTCTTTGGATTACGGATGATGTGACCTTCATCGAGAACAATTCTGCGCCAGTTCATCGAATACAATCCAGAAGAAGTTGGGACTTTCCCTGGAGTCTTCGAGCCACGAGGGAACAATTCTGAGCTGAGAATGCCATATGTAGTGATGACAACATCGTACTGTCCAAATTCATTTGGGGTCATTCCCTTGACCTTGCCATGACTGCCATGGTAAGTTAAGACTTTCAAAGCTTTATCTTCCTTGATGTGTCTTTCCATTTGTTGTGCCCAATTCGACATAACACTAACTGGCGCAACGATTAAAGTTGTACCTGATCCACCTGCAAGAATGAGGGAAATAACCTGCACAGTCTTTCCAAGACCCATATCATCAGCGAGTATACCACCCGAGGCCAACTTCGGAGCTTTATCACAGTAATTGGTTGCGACATTTTGGTAGGTGCCTTTGTGTTTTTTGGAGGCTTTCCAAAGTTGTACCACTTGATCGGATTTGGCATCTGGTAAAACTGGGTTTTCCTTTTCAAGCATCCATGCTAAACCTTGACGTTGATATGGAAGCGAAGTGCATATGAGAGCCTCTGGCTGCTCTACCATAGGCATCTTTGCAAGGGCATCCTCGGGTAGGCCTAACTCCTCAGCCATTTTATCAACTCCTCTTGGGTTGAATCGTTCGCTGTTGGCGACAAAGTGTGCTAGATCAATGACTGGTTGAGGTACTGGCTCTGGTTGACTAGATACACCTCCTTGAGAAGATTTGAAACCCATTTCCTTTCTTTGAGGGGGTGGAACAGGAGCCTTCGGTTGTTTCGGTGCCGCAACATCTCGTTTCTTCAGTGGTAGCCTCTTGGCAGCCAACTCTCTCCCCACTGATATAAAGTTAGCGAAGTGTGACCTTCTTTTTAAGACCTCCAGGAATATACAAGTGTCTAAGGAGATGAAATAACCTACAATCAGCCCTTACAACAGGATCTGCGGGTCCATAAACCTTAAGCAAAATAGGACAATCATATGCTCTCTTCTCCCCGGCAAGAATGCCCTCCATGACAATAGTTTTTGCGTCCTGATCCCATCAGATTAGTCTCCATTTAATCCCAGCTACGCACAAGGTATCGAGAAGCACATACCAAAAACCCCGCCAGCTTAGCCGCCAACTCTCTCGGCAAATGTCCAATTTGTGTTCCCTGAACGTTATTGACTCGAATCGCGTTTGAATCATACTGATTTCCTGGTTCCCTCCTAATCATGACCTGCTCGCCAGGGCTGGCATAGCCATTATAAAATCTAACCCCGACAATCTTTCCATCAATAGCACCAAGACACACCCATCCGAACCCCTCTTCAACTTCTTGACTCAAATCAATATCCTCATCCTCATCACCTTCACCCCATTGATCACGAACAGTCATAGCTTGACTTGAGCTTGAACCACCGAAGCCCCCCGAAGTTCTCGAAAGACCAGCAGTAGGATTAAGTCTTGGCTGTTTTCGCTGCTGAGCACGTGGAACCTCATTCTCTGAATCTGAGTTTGTCAAGTCGACAAACTCAGAAGACGCGTTGCGTTTTCCTAGGTTCGGCATGATTAATCCAAAATACCGGAATATCTTGTACAAAATCACAAATTGGTTGTTGTGCAGGGAACACTTCACGCGTTTGTAAAGTTCAGTTGACCTTCAAGAACATTGGTGAATTAAGTTAATTTACATGGGATGGGAAAACGCCTGAACACGTGATTGCTCTTTTTGTGTCCAATGGACTTGTATGTGCTTTTGTTTGCATGTTTGAAGAGAAGTCTTTCAATGTGCATACCTGTATATGTATTCCGAAAATGCGAGTTGATTCTCTTCTATAAATGAAGTGGTTGTTTCTTAGATCGTTACTATCAAATGCTAACAAGCATTTTCTACCCCAGATAGCCAAGCCTAACGGCCCTCAATCCACAGGCTTTATTCCACACAATTAATAGCTAGCTAGCACGGCTTTAGCTCTGGGTAGAACTAAACTCATCCTACCAGTTAAAACATTTCGAGCAATCTAGCAAGATATTGCTCTATATTTCAGCCTCAGAAGTTGATCCTCTCGTTGAATCTTCTTGTTCTTGTTCCTGTTTACCCTATGCCCTTTCAGGAATTTGATGCAGCGTACCGTCATTATCAAAAAATCAAGCTCTTATCCCTGTTCTACCTACCTATCTATCCATTTAATAGGATCCAACAGATACATAGACGGTGATCCCAACATGAATACTGACAAGATGATGATTTTCTACTAATTAGTTTTCCTGTAATATTCCTTTGGAGAGTGATTTTATTATATATTCAAAAGTTTCAGCTATATCATATGTGAGTTATTTGAAATTCAGTGTATTGTTTTATTTCCCAAGTAGTGATATCGTTCTGTACATAATTCCCTTCCTCAACGGCGAGTGTTAGACATTGACAATCAACCAGCTAGCTGCTGGAAATTTCTATGTTAAGATGATTCGGGAAAGATTAGTGTTGTTTTTGATCAACATTTTCTGTATGTAATCTTACATCGAAATTATTTTCAAGTATGCAATTATGAAATCCTAAAGCTAATCATATCAAAGGTCCACCTGTGACAGTTATGGCCGTAAGTCACCTATCTCTATTTCTCCTTTAACTTCCTGATCCCCAAATCCCCAGACTAACCCCTTCACAGGTCGCTGGCATCGGCGCCGACTGTCTCCTCAACACAATTCTCTTCATGCTCGGAGTCATTCCCGGCCACATCCATGGTTTCTACATAACCTGCACTTATTTCTCGCGCAGGAAGAAGGTGCGTAAGGGTCAATATCCTGGCGGCCCCAAAATGGGTATCTACAGTGAGAGGGTTTGGTATGGGGGTGCGAGTGCGAAAAGGGTGGATGAGTTGTGGGAGAAGAGAGAGGATGAGAGATTAGAAAAATCGGATAGAGATGAAGAGAAGAGGACGGGCAGGAGGAAGGCTGGGGATAGGAGGGGTGTTGGAAGAAGAAATGAGGTGATGAGAATGCACAGTGATATAGGAGCGATGAGAGTGCATTGAATGCAGGCACAGGGGGCGGGAGAAGAGTGAGGAGGAACAAATCGATGAAGGCATCGTTAGAGAATTATATCCAAACGAGTTGGGAATTGTGCTCACTTGAGCACAAAAGAACATAGAGGCCTTGCAATGGGCGAATAGACTAGAGCCGATAAACACACTGTATACAAGACCTGCTTATAATCTAATAACCTCGTTTATTCTTATCCTTTCAATACCATATAATAAAACAATAATTTGTTTACAAAGGTGCTTCTACCACTCGAAATATCCTCAATATCGTGTGAAAAAGCCGGAGCTCAAGAACAAAAAGTGTTATACGCCAATATCCCAAATCCCTCAAATAATCCTAAAAAATCCGCAAAAAGGTATCGTCGCAAATCGTCGAAGTGCACATCGGCAGCCAGAACAACCATTCATTTATCATTAATATTATCGAAGCCATAGATCGGTCTTCCTTGTCGTCGAAGGGCCCAGATCACCTAGCGCGCCATTATCAGCTTTAACTCATCACCAACCACCTCAATCAGAGAATATCTAACTCACATCGTTGGCCGTGACCGTCTTGCGCTTTGAGTGTTCGACAATAGCAACGCAATCGCGTAGAACCTGTAAGGTATTAAGAACGGCGATCTAGATATTGCAAGGAATAACGAACCTCATTTAGACGCGCTTTAATGGCTTCACGGACGTCGTGGTAAATCAGAGCCGAGATACGTTTGACTCCACCTCTTCGAGCAAGACGACTGTGGCATATGATTAGTTCGCATCTTTAGCCTTATCGCGGAAGTCCCCACCGAATATCACCTTTGGTGATACCATTGATGTTATCTTTCAGAACCTTGCTAAGATCAGAAACATGTTAGCAGTTTGTCTATCGCATGTGTGTGTATGTTGTACAATTCTCGGTGTAATTGACAAGTATAAAACAACTTCAGAAATTGAAAGCATTCAAAAAAATAGAGATCTAAGGAGGAGCCTTACCGGTGTCTTCTCAAACGAGGACCTCCAATACCTCGAGCACCTGGGCCTTTTCCTTTTCCTCCACCTCCATAGCTACTGGAAACAACAGTTTTGCCCGACATAGAGTGTTGTCCCTTTCTTTGGTAGGGTGGAGAAAAAGGTTGCGGTGCCATATTGTTACAGCTAAGATAATGTACATGTAGCTTTCTAATAGGTGTGAGACAAGTTTATTTGAAAGTTGAAAGAGTGAGATGTGAAGTCGAACGCGGCTTGGAAAGCGGGGAGAAAAACGAAGTCACGAGACTTGGACAGTAGCGCGTTTTTGCTTTTCCCTTTGGGGCATCACAATGTTATCATCCCAAAACGTAAAAGTAAAAAGGATCTATTGATATCCAAGTCTTCTAAAGAGACTCTATAACTCCATTAGGTATCTCCGGGCCTCAAAATATATATGTACTAACCCAAAGCATCCGTACTGTCTCCTAATTCTACTGACGCCCGCAAAGAGAAGAACTACGAAACAAAATCATCAATTCCATGAATTCAGTCCCCATGTATCATTCAGAAATGAAGGTTGCTTCAGTATATAGAGTCCCTTCCTCTGTGATTTCTTCGTCACCAATCTTCAATACCAAGGTGGTTGGTTTGTTACGCGGGCAGTACTACAACTTTTGTTAGAATCAAGAAAGTTCCTTGGAAACGCGTATAACATACCTGATAGATATATGGTCTTGTTCCAGCTACATTGCCCACGATTTTCTTTACAAAACCAGGTACTTCAGCCATAACATCAACTCTATCGAGCCTCTCCTCGAGGTCAGTCTCGATCAACCCAGAAACAGATTTGCCATCTTTTGTCTTCCCATTCCAATCGAATTTGACAGCCTCTGGTTCTGGCCAGCCAGCATTCTGATCATTCCTGACCTTGGTATGCTTTGCAGTATTTCCTGCACCAGCACATATTATTTCACCGTCCTTGACTATGCCACCGACGCTAACAACCGTAGAACCATATGCTGGAGGGGTCGTGTATTCCATCATTATGGCCGAAAATTGTGGACCTTGATAATTAACAAAATTCCACTTGGCGGCAGCATGATGTGGTTTCATTCCTTGGAGCGCATGTATGAATAATGCTTTACCCTTAAAGTCTATTGACCCATCTTTGGTTATAATAGATCCTTTGGTGATAGTCCGTGGCCAAAATGCATGCCGCATTGAACCCCAAGGAGCCTTTGGATCTGTTCCATAATATGATTTGCCATCTTTCCCGACATGGAAGCCTGGAGCAACTCGGGTTACTGTAAGGTTGACAATAGATGCTTCATTCGCCATAGATTTGATGGTATATTCAGTGCCGTCCTCAGAAAGATCAATAGCCACATCGTCTGCGTAGTAGCAGGTTTTATCATTGCTGAATTCGACGTTACTGAGTTGATTGGAGCTCCATAGATTAGGCTTCGAGCTGCCTTTTGGGTAGGAGATTTTGCAGTTGAACTGGGAAGTCGTCCGTACACCACTTTCTATAGTATCAGCATCTCTTGTTCACTTGGGAAGAAGCATAATTCATACATGACATTACTATGTATGATTTGTGCCATAGCAATATGTCCATTATCAGCCATAATATAGAAAGTTTGAGTCTCTACGCTCGTTGAATCCATAGCGACCCATTTCATATCTTCCCTCGAAAGTTCTGTGTAAGGCGTGGTATCTGCTTGCTTGCCAACCGGTATAATTGCAGAAGGTCCGTAAATTGGCTCTGCCGTGCCGGTAGCATTGGCCATTTGCTTTTTCGCCCAGTTCATCATCTTGAAGAGTTGTTTAGTTGTATTTTGGGAAGGTTGAATGTTTACTTCTAACTTTTATCTTTCAGAGGGATACATATCCTTCAAGTACCAAACTTACCCCTCATCGTCTAGTTCCTGCCTAGAGTGCACTTCATACATTATTATCACGTGTAGACTCCCTCTTCCATAGTTTTTGAAGGGATTATTCTTGCTGTTGTTTGGGAAGAATGTCTATGTGTGTAAAAATGACGTATTAAAGTAAAAGGCATTGTGCTGCATAATTTTAGAGAGATCAATAATGGGTTACCTAGTTTGTATTTGAGTAATTGTTTAGTTGTTTTCGGCATGTGGATTTCCTAAAGTTTGGGGTAACCTTGAAAGGCTGGGTCCTTGGCCGAAAGATCCATGCTGCTTTTTAAAACCTTATCGACAAGGCGACAGATGCGAGACTAAAATTTTGATATGATAAATTGACATCAAAGGCTTTCATTACCAAGGCAAATTTCACTATCAGCACCTCAATTGAAATGTCGAAAGCACGCGCCGCTTCAGATGTGATAGTAAAGCTCATAGTAGGAGCAGGACAAGCCAGTCCTAGTCCTCCGGTTGGTCCTGCGCTGGGAAGTAAAGGTGTCAAGTCAATGGACTTCTGCAAGGTACGCATATCTCCTCCAGCTTGGACAGTACCAGAATTTGTTGCCGACTCAAGTACATATACTTTAAAAATACAATACTTGTCTTCTCCAGTCGATCAGTTAGTCTAATGTTTGTAACAGGAATTCAATGCAAGAACCTCCCATATGAATCCAGGTACTCCAGTTCCGGCGAGAGTCACAGTGCGACCAGATCGATCATTCCATTTCGAATTACGCACACCATCAACATCATGGCTACTTCTCAGCGCGGCAGGTGTTGAGACGGTGAAGGGAAAGCTAAAGGGAGCACCAGATTCGACAACGATTGTGGGTACTGTGAGTCTGAAGCACATCTACGAAATTGCCAAAATAAAACAATCGGAACTGCGACTATCAGGTTTATCTTTGGAGGGGCTTTGCAAATCAGTAATTGCCCAGGCAAAAACTATTGGGGTCAAAGTGGTCGCATGAATGGGCGAAGTTGTCGATCAGGCCGATTTGAACAAGCTGGGTCAATTTTACATGTGATATCATTGCGGACGGCGTTGGAATGCGTGTGTATACTATTTCACACTATCTCTAGAGGAAAGACTGAGGTTATATGGTGTAACAAGAACGATAATCATGACGGTTGAATGTTTGAGACCGTTTCGACTAGGAGATGATTTTTTCGTCAATGACAACTGATTGTTTCGACCTAGAGCGAATCTAACGGTATGTTCAGAGAAAATCATTAGTCAGTACAACCTCTTCGATAATCGCACACTTGGCAGACTTGTGTCATTCCGCCCCTAGAGTAAACCTGCGCTTCAAAATACTTGATTGGGCAAAGAACAAGAAATACCTAGTACGGATGCCTCTGGAGATCTCGGCCCAATATGGAATGAAATATCTTGTCCTGAAAAATCCGACAGACTCCGATTTGTGCAAGCTGACCCAATCACGTGTGACTTTTGTTCAATCCCTTCTAGAACCTTTCAGCAATTGTGGCAGCGAGATCGGGATTTCAGGGGTCATCCTCGGTAGAATTCGGTATCAGGAGTCAGGACTCAGGAGGCTTTCCTGGCAGTGGAGTTCTAGAAGACGCCTAGAAGATTCATGTCCCCCGCTGTCAACACCAACACAACCTTAATAAGTGTCAGCAAATGCAGGAAGATCTACAACCAATTTCTTCCCCCCAAAGTAACGATGACCCACTCATGGACCATGCTCAGCATTGAATGTACTGGGAAATGATACTCGAGTACGAACGATATCATGTTGTACAAGCAAGTAGGTAAACTCGACATGCATAAATCTTGTACTTGCTGAGCTGCTGTACAAGATGGATACATTTGGCGGTATGGGTATGAGACTTCTGATTTGAGAGACTTGGAATGGAGATAACTTTCCCCATTGTTTTAAAATTGTTGGTTCCAGTAACTTAAGCATATACCTGGTTCGCCGTAATATGTTTGTCGAATAAAAATGTCAATAATACGAATGGGTGTCCCATTTTCTAATGAGCTTTGTAAGGCGGTTTTAACTACAGAACAACAGCCAGCCACATGGACTGAAGTGTACGTGTGCGCCTCTCGGTATGTTCAGTTCAATTCTAGGTCAGGCTTGAACATTTGCTGCATCTATTTATTTTTATCTTGCCTCTTTCAAGAGTTCGATCCACTTCTCCATAATGGCTAACATAGTCCGTAAAATTGTGATTGAGAACTTTAATTTGATTCGTTGGAGAATGAAAAATGTATGAAAAACATTGGCCTTATCACATTAATATATATTAAATGAAGCCTATATCCGACGGAGTAAGAATTTCTTGAAGCGGCGGCGACTCACCGGTTTTATAAAGAACAAAAAGAGAGAAAGAGATGAGTGAGGAGTCTCGTTTATTACTAATCTATGTAATCTAAAATACAAGTCTTGTTGTAATCTTATTAATAATTAGGTAGGTAGGTATCTTTCGAACTGGAACATTGGATTTTCTCTTGATGAATCATTCATTACTTGTGAACAGTGAAATCAAATCAAATCTATCTCATCCATCCTTTTGCATCATCTTAAATATATAAATATATCTAGGTAGATATACCTTTTATATCTCGTGCATAACCAAGAGCTACCAAGGATAAGGTTTATCCGTTACAGTTACTCGACCGCATATTTTACATTTTACGCTACATAGATCGGAAGGAAAAATAATAAATATCGTCACACTACAGTTATCAATCATATTTTTATATCAAAGGCCGAACCGATGCAAATCTGGCTATTGCGCTTTACCTACTTTGTTTTCTCTGCCCTTTTAGCTTTGCCCTCATCGAGTCGAGTACTACCCAATTAAGACTTTCCCTAGTACTTGACTACATACGTCTAGGGTTCATTCATTCAAGGTTCATTTTCATACCCCGTCATACCATTCCACCGAAATCCTTCCTCCACTCACGTTTTGTTACTACCACTCTACTACTCTACCACCCACCTACCACTCTTCCACTCTACCACTGAAAATCCCAACCATCCGGAGTTGGCGTCTTACTACTTTGGTTCCTTGACCTTCCGTTCATACCAGTACATTTCTTGGTTGTGCAGAGTACACGATGATCTAATCGGATCAATTGAAGTATTCTTTTCCTAGAATCTTCAAATCATCAAACACTTCCAGAAAATTAGAAAACTCAACCACAGTACATAGTACATACACATACATACCTACTTGTACAATTCATTCCTCCATTTACATTTGCTCTAACATTTCACTTTGATGATTACCATCAAATTCACCGATTGGCACAAGACTTATCATCTCGGCTTCTTTTTCCGTTTAGTTTAGTTTCCTCCAGCACTTATATCCGCTTTTGACTCAAGAGAAACGCTCCGAGAGCCCCACCATCAAACCTCCAAATTCTCCTTTCAGATTCAACTTTCTCACTTCAACCTGCCCCGACTTTCGTGTGTGAAGGCTCCGGAGGTCTATCCTCGACCACAGTGCAATTGCTACAATAACCTATAGCTCATCGCCCACACTATGGCTACACCTCAAGAATTACCATCGTCGACTCAACCGGCCCCGCTTGGTGAGTTTCAGCGCTTACTTCTGCTGTCCTTGACCCAATCACGACACCGTCTCACTATACATTCGAAAGAGAAGGCTAACAATCTTCTCCAGCAGGGCCCGCAGGTTCCGTTCCATTCAAATTGGACGGTAAATCCTCCACTGAAGGTTTTCCCCAAGTCCGGTTCGCCGCGGCCAACGAGCAAATAGCACCGAATGAAGGCTTCTCTGGTCTATGTGATGACAAGGCTGCACAAGAGGATTCAAATAAGGAACAGTCAGATTTAGATCAGTTATCGAAAACTCTTCACGGAACGCATTTGCAAGAACGTCGCATGAGCCACTTTGCATTCGAGCCTGTGTCTCTACCAGCTTCGAGAGTACGTCATTCCCAGTTGCAATATCCTGTATCTTTTCGAGTTTCCTAGGGTACTTTGTGATGCTAGCCTGAAGTATCGAGCTCTGCAAAAATGGAAAATTTGGCAGATCCACGGGCTAGATCTAGTAGTCTTTATGCATAAGAACCACAATCTGGAGTTCTGTCCCCACTTGCAGCTCTCTGAGATCTCTGCAAGGGATACGCATAATGAGGCCCACAACAGTGCATATTGGTGTTCCTATAAATTTGACCTTAAATCCGGGGTTCTGCTTGTTTCCCACTGACTCGTTGTATTTTAGATACCCTCAACTGAAGAGAACTCTCGAGAGGCTAGCCGATATAACACGCACAATTCCTCGACTCGACCTTCTCCACATCAAAGTCCTCAAACATCATCCATGCATTCTCCGCCCATAACTCCCGCGGCCACAAGATCGAGGGATGCCCCAATTGAAGCCGCAAAGGGACCTTCCCTCCAAAATGCGGCAGTCGAAGGAGATCCGGCGGCTGTGACTCCTCAGATTTCACCACCTGGAACTTCACCATCAACTACAAATGCCGATGCATCTCGACCTGGATCTTCCGGACAAATGGTGGCTACTTCTAGTCACTTGACCGAGACAGCGCCATCCAAGCCGCACCATACCTTTTCAATCGGCCCTACTGCAAACGACTCATCTGTTCCTGTATCTCGAGAACCTAGCCCATTGCGTTCTGCTGCTGCATCGACTTATAGCAGACCCTTTACACCTGCTGGAGATTTAGACGATCCTTACGCCGCATCTAGAAGAGTTCCGCAACCGAAGAACGCCGAGGCTATTGAGTCAAGATTCAGATTTACTGCGATAGGTGCAAAGAACCGACAATCTCCAGCCTCATCCACGACTAGCTTGCCTAGATCATCTAGAAGTGCGACAGATGTGGTGAAGGCGCCAGCGCAAGTTGTGGAGAAACGTCATACTGGTTTATTTGGTCATAAGAACCATTTAACGGGCGCCCACGATGAAAGTGCATCAACAATTCACAAGGCCCACGGCTCTATGTCAGAGCTTAAGCGATTCTTGAAAATTGGTCATCACAAAGGCAAGCGTGCTGGTTCTCCAACACCATCCGCTAAATCTGGTAATTCAGTAAATAAGACTCCACCATATGGCAAGGGTCATCAACTTCCATTTGGTGAAGATCACGGGTTAACTTCGAAATATGGAAAGTTTGGAAAAGTCCTCGGAGCTGGAGCTGGAGGCTCTGTACGTTTGATGAAACGAAGCAGTGATGGTAAAACATTTGCCGTGAAAGAATTCCGTGCCAGACATTCATACGAATCAGAAAAGGAATACACGAAGAAAGTGACCGCCGAATTTTGTATCGGATCGACTTTACATCATGGGAACATCATCGAAACATTAGACATTGTACAGGAGAAGGGAAAATGGTACGAGGTTATGGAGTATGCGCCTTACGACCTATTCGCCGTTGTCATGACTGGGAAAATGTCGAGAGAGGAGGTCACCTGCTCTTTTCTCCAGATTCTAAGTGGTGTTACATACTTGCACAGTATGGGCTTAGCTCATCGCGATCTGAAACTCGATAACGTGGTGGTGAACCAATATGGAATCATGAAAATCATCGATTTTGGTAGTGCTAGCGTATTCTTATATCCCTTTGAAGGAGACATCACGCTGTCTAGTGGTACGTTACCTAAAACTGAAACTTTTATCGTCAATTGTGCTAATATACTTGCCGTAGGTATTGTTGGTTCCGATCCTTATCTTGCTCCAGAGGTTTATGACGAGAAAAGATATGATCCTCAGCCAGCTGATATCTGGTCTCTCGCAATCATTTTCTGTTGCATGTCTTTACGTCGTTTTCCATGGAAAATGCCTAGAATAACAGATAATTCATACAAGTTATTTGCATCTCCTCCATCACCAGGAGCAGAAATGCATGATGGAGAGGTCATACCATCTACAAAGCAGTCTGATTCTGATGCTAACCAGTCGAAAAACGGTCCCAACGGTTCCACCACTTCAGTTCCTTCCATGCTCAATTTAATTGATTCTATTGAAGGAAAGAAGCCTCCTGAGCCTCCTAAGCCAGAAGTGATCAAAGGACCGTGGAGACTACTCCGCCTTTTACCAAGAGAGAGTAGGAAGATTATCGGACTCATGTTGAAGCTGGATCCAAAAAAGAGAGCTACAATGGCACAGATACTAGACGATCCCTGGGTGAGGGATACAGTGATATGTCGTCAAGATTCTGATGGCAACCCAATATCAGCTCCAGGTCATGTACACACCCTCGAGCCACCATCACCACAACCTTCTACCAAATAACGATTTTCACGTAGCGTTGGATGACTCTCGGTTTGCATAGTCAGTGTTGGGATTAGGAGGCGTTTTTGGGGTTGGTTTACATAGGTTGGTTTATATCGATAGCACTAGATTACAGTGCATTTCATACGGCTCGTTTAAATAGTGGAGGAATTGTAGTAGATTGTATATCCCTAGGGTTTCTTGGAGGTTTATATTATTTCGATACTAGATACATACCTCGGGGTGGTTTTAGATAGTGGTGACCTTGGGTCGTTTTTATGACATCAATGTCGATTTTAATAGAAGCATACGCTATATATATCTTTCAATTTCGATTGTATTGTAATTTACTCTAAACATTCCTTTGTGAGAATCTAAAATGATGACCCGATGGGTAGCGGAGAGGTAGTGTATTATAGTTTATGTATTCTTACTTTTTTTCAGTATAAGATTTGAATCATGAATCATGAATCCTTATATTTCCATTTCAGCGATCCATAATTCTCGGATCTGGAAAAGGGAGGGAAGGAAATGAAAGGAAGGGCGGGGAAGGAGGGGTGGCAGGGGAAAAGAAAGTATTTTATGAATTCATACTTTAAGGATACGGCTAATAGGCACATCATATCATATCACCATTTATTGTATGAGGGTTTGGAATACTGAAATGCATTGTAAGGTATTGGAAGATATATGTGTACAAAATAGAATTGAATAGAAGTGGTAATCTTCAGTGTGGTAACATCGAATCCCGTTCGATACTTTCCTTTAGCTCCTTGGCTTGCCTTGCTATTCTTTTCTGCTGTTTAATGCTACATAGGAAAGTTTCTTCGTGATGAGTGAGTATATGAATGATTGATTGCTTCGTCTTTGATCAACAAGGACGTTGCTATCATATCATATCATATTTCATATCGTATTTACCAGTTCCAAAGTTCACGTCATGTCTTAATACTGCACTCTCTGTCCCACTATCATCCTATCCACCGATGTTCTTCTTCCAAACCACCCATCATTTATCCACAAACCCCAAAATTCCCCTGACATCCCGTACCGCAATAATCCCCACTACTACCACAATACCCAGCCTGACTACAACACTCACCCAAAGAACTCCCCCTACAAGTTTGACCCTCCCCACCCCCACAACTCCCATCCACACTAACCTTCAAGCTACCCGCACTAACTACCGTCGAACCCGCCGCATAAACACCCCCCGTCTGTTCCACCGCCGGAGCAATCGTAGCCACCATGGTCGGCGCCATCGCCGTCGTCCCCGTCATCTTCGCAAGCACAGGCGGTCCATTAAAATTCCCCTCCTGACACCCCTCCTGAATCGCCTTACAATGTGTCTCCCAATCCCTACATCCTTTATCACCTGTCGGCGGCGCACTATCATAACACACGGTCGTCTGATTCCAACAATCAGAGCTCGCATTCCAACAACCCTGCTCGGTCGTGTAAGTAGTGACTTCGACGCCCCACCAATTGGCATTCGTGAGCACGGCGTCTGGAGGGAGGAGTCCTTCGTTTTGTGTCTGTTTTGCGGAGAATTTGACTGCCTTTTTACCGGTGATGCTGTCGGTGACGGAAATACCAGGTTGGTAGGGGGCTGGGCCGGGCATGGTGTATGGTGTTGGTGGGGGGTTCCAGATGTTGTAGAGAACGGATGGGTCGCTGATATTGACGTATCCGGGGATACTTACTGTAGCTTTCGGGACGGATGTTTCGGCGGAATTTAGATAGATTTGTGCACAGCCGACGTAGAACTGAGGATTGGGGGGCGTCTTATCGGCCTGGTGGAGGGCGAGAAGTTCGGGTCGCGCGAGATAGTAACCGCCTGCTAGATCGCTGGGGATATTGACGGAAAGGTACCCGTTGTTTTGGATGAGCTTTTCCGTGCACCATTTTTTAGTATTGTTGTCGTAGCCTTCGTCCCAGATTTTGAACCAGTCTATGGAGAAAATTAGTTTTACTCAGAAATGGAAATAAAAAACGTTGAGTTATTCATCTTAAGGCTTTAAGTCTTTGAAATACAACACTCACCAGGACCAACAGCCGTATCATTAATAGCAGAAGCCACCCGTTTCATATAAACAGCACAAGGCCCCTTATGATTAGGATCAATTGCACCCTCCTTCGAACCATCCGCATATTCTCTAAACAAAAAACTCAATTTCGCCGTCTGATTAACAGAACAGACTCGATCGACTCCCTTTGTACCATTGAATCCTATATTCATTAGCATAAACATAAACATATCCACATATCTCGATCTAATATGATAACATACCACAAGCCATAGAATCGCTATCCAAATCATTGATAGGGAATGTAGCCGTGCTGGGATCCGAAGGCATACGAACACATGTTCCATCGCCCTGCGATACATCGTTTACAAAAAGTGTCGTGAAGACTGTATGAGCAGCCACGAGCTGAGAAGTGGAAAATGCCACCAGGGCAAGTTTGAAAAGAGAGAGATGCATTTGTATTTTCTTCGAAAGATCGATTTCAGGAAAGAATGTGTATGTAAATATGTATGTATGTATGTATGTATGTAAATGGTTTTTGTAATTCTATATCGGGCGTTGCGAAAGTATGTGGAGGGAGGGAGGTACGAGAAAATAATTGCAAAGAAGAGGTTTCTTATCCAAAGAAACAAAAGAGTGTGTTTGTGAATGAATGAATGAATGAATGAAAAGAAAACAGAATCGTAATGATTCAAAAGATTGTACTTAATAAAAAAAGGAAGGGGATTGATTGTATGTGTTATTGTCTAGAATCTTAGTTGTTTAAATTGTTTTCCATATGATCGTATCGGTATGACAAGCTTTTCGTCTATGAATCTTTGAATCTCCTATTCACTACAACATTCACAATAAGTAATTTAGTATTCAAGGTCCTTGTACGTCTCTTGTACGAGTATATAAGAAATTACTTTTATTTTGTGCTTGTGTTTCGATTCAAAGACAAACCAAACTGCTGGTCTGCTAAAAGAAAATTTATATTACCTGGGTATACAATGCACAATGCACATCAATCCTATAATCCAACCTACAAAAAGACCGGTGGAATGGTCTCGACATGAGAGAGTTAACCTGGTCAAAGGCGCAGCTGGAGGAGTACTCATCAGTATCAGTGTGACGATATTATTTATTGGTCCTCCGCTTCCTTGAGAAATTGACCAGGGCGTTAAAAACATTTTCGTTTGGTTTCAGAAAGCGGCCCCTTTTTTTTGGTCTGAGAAACAACCGCCAATAAAATCGTTCATCGCGTAACTAAACATATAAATGACTATGGTATTTTTACAGCGATACTAAATTGATATGCGCCTTTGCAGCTCTCCCAGGGGTTTCTTTCGCCCTATCGCCTGCTTATTGTAAATTAATGCAAAAGAAACGGTATCGTAGGCTGAACTCTGAAACAAGCACAACATAAAGTTTCCGATGTAAATACAATCCCTTGGATCGCGATCAAATTTTACCCCGGAAACACTTTGATATTTGAGGAGAAGAGATTCATTTAAATTCATGCACAGCAATCCACCGGCTGAGATTCAAGGTATACAAAAAATGGTTTCCTTGAGCCCCTTAGTATTAGGCCAGCCTTCGACATGTCCTCTCAACACCTTTCACTAGATATCTTTTGTCCTTTTGCCCGCTATGCTCGATTTTATACATCTATGGTACACCCTCCGTCAAGTCGTAATATCGTTAAAGCATTTATTCGTTAATTTTTGCAAGGATACTGTAGTTCTCATCAGTAACTTGCCGCAGACCAGAGGAATGTGCGAGGGGTAGAGCTTACTCATGGTCTCTGAACAAAGTGTATTCTTCTTCTCCGACCTTAACTGGTGATCCTCCGTACTATTTCTAGTCAGTAACGGCTCATCCCATATGTACCACAACTTCCGAAATCAGCTGTTCCTAATCCATGCTGCAGTCATCCACCTCATCTGCAAGAGCTGCAAGCAAGCATCACTGAGTAGTCCTCCACCGCATCCAGCACAAACCAATGTAGCTTACCTGAGGAATCAAAACTTTGTCACCAGCCTGAACACCGCAGCTAACTCTCTTTCCATCCTTATCCAAACCTCCTGGCCCGACAGCCAAAACTCTAGCCTCGTTGAGCTCCTTCACACTGGACTCTGGGAGGTAGATACCGGCAGCGGTTCTGGTCTCTGCCTTAATTCTCTGGACCAAGACACGGTCAAGGAGAGGAGCGAGAGATTTGATTGACTTGAGAGCGGTAGACTGTAATATCAATATTTATTAGCAGATGTAATAATGGGAAGCTAAAATGCATGGAGATTTTTATAAGAATCGAAACGGCCTCGCAACATTGGGGTCATCGCCGCATAATGGAGCAATAAAGCTTACTCACCATCTTGAGCGTTTTATCTTGAGGATTATTGAGGTTTGCGTGAAAGATAATGTGCAGAAAGATGTTTAGAATATATCAAAGAATTGAAGCTCAGAGGATTGGGTGTGGAGAAAATAATTTGTACCTGTCGGAGTTCTCGAATCTTCTTTAACCGAACATCGGCTATTGATCAAGACACCCAGTTACATAATACTACCTACAGAAGGTGCATTCTTCCACAGCAGCAGCGACATTGTGAGATCTTATCAGAAAATCATTGACTACCTACATGAATACTGGTTGTTGCATTTCTGGGCTAATAACTACAAACAACATCAACCACCTACCTAGGTAAATACTCTCTCAGTCCAATAACCTGTATTTTCATCTGATCCCCAAATAGAGGATCACCAGTGATCGAATAATAGAAGCGATTTGCACGATAGCTTGCCAATTCCAACAGGGTCTGGTAGGTGTTTGTTGCTTGTGATGCCCAGTCCAGGTTCAATATGTACTCGAGTGATACTCTGTATAATTCACTGAAATTCCTATTATTTTAGTGGTGGCGTGCCCGCCCTACTCTAGTCCTAGCGCAGCGGCCGCATTAACCTATGCCCCACGATTTTGAACTTCCCCTCCAAATTTTTGAAAGTTTATAGTATCTCCTCACAACATCATCATTTTCTAGCCATGGCTTACGATACGTGGATTTCGAGGCCCATTTGGTCTTATGAAATTGATGGTAAGATACGTACTTCCTAATATGAATTGGGCAAATATTAATTAGTGTCAATATAGAGATTGTCGCATTATGGCATCTTCATCGCATTCCAATTATTCTTACGACGGCCACCATCCTCATACTCGTTAGAATAACACTTCGGCCGCGAGCTTCAAGAGAGAAACTATCTGCATCGCCATTACCCGCTTCGCCTATTCTACCTGCAGTAAAAGAAAAGATATCTCCGCCGGTAATTGAGGAAAAGAAAACGAATGGTGTAAAAGCCCCACGAAGAATAGTTGGAGGTGTCAAGAAGCGCAAACCTTCAGAGGAGAACCTGCAAACTAGCCCTGAAAAGATTCAAATTTTAGTTTTTTTCTCTTCATTGACTGGTACGACCGAAAGAACCGCAAGCTCTTTCGTGGAGCAAATTACAGGCGACATACGCGAAAGCGGATTTGGAGGAGAAGCACCAATTAAATATCTTGATCCTGAGCTACTCGACCTTTCATACATCGACTATGATGATTATTTCATCAATCCACCAAAGGGTGAACCTAGGACAAGCTACTTTTATCTAGTACTTATCCCTAGTTATAACATCGATACTGTGTTGGACAATTTCCTAGAACATTTACAAGAAACGCATAATGATTTTAGAATTGATACCGCGCCATTATCGCCCTTGGTAGGGTATTCAGTGTTTGGATTTGGGGATAGAGAGGGTTGGCCAACAGAGGAAGAGGGATTTTGTTCGCAGGCTAAGGATGTAGATAAATGGTTAGCAAAGTTGACGGGCAAAAAGAGAGCATTTCCTTTGGGAATGGGTGATGCGAAGAAGGATGCGCGAGAGAGATTGACAGAGTGGAGGGAAGGCTTGGTAGATGTGCTGGAACATATTGCAAAGACGGGAAGTTTAGGCGAAGGAGTTGTCGGAAGTGGAGATGCAGTAGAAAGTGATGTGGAGGATATTGAGGATGATGACGGAGAAGTCCTGTTTGATGAACAAAATGTTGCCTCGAGAAAGGTCAAGACGCAGAAGAAGGAGGACAGTTTGAATGACTTGGAGGATATTGGAGGGGTTCTGATTAATACAGAAACCATAGACAATACCGTTGGTGAAGGATCGGAAGAACTCGAGTCAGATTTCACGACGGTCAGATTGAAAAAGGGGAAGGTAAAGACAGCTCCAGTTGTAGCCAAGGAGATGGTTCCAAAAACTTCACCAACATATGCAGCTTTGACAAAGCAAGGCTACTCAATTGTAGGATCGCACTCAGGCGTCAAGATTTGTAGATGGACAAAATCTGCTCTTCGTGGCAGAGGTTCTTGCTATAAATATTCCTTCTATGGCATTGCATCCCATCAATGCATGGAAACTACACCTTCGTTATCATGTTCCAACAAATGTGTCTTCTGCTGGAGACACGGTACGAATCCTGTCGGAACAACCTGGAGATGGAAAGTAGACCCTCCAGAAATGATCTTTGATGGTGTCAAGGCTGGACATTACAAAAAGATCAAGATGATGCGGGGTGTCCCTGGTGTCAGAGCTGAACGTTTTGCGGAAGCAATGCGCATTCGTCACTGTGCTTTAAGTTTGGTCGGCGAACCTATTTTCTACCCACACATCAATGAATTCACCAGCATGCTCCACAAGGAACATATATCCACATTCCTTGTCTGCAATGCACAACATCCAGACCAATTAGCCACTCTTCAGCCGGTTACCCAGCTTTACGTTAGTATTGATGCCTCAAACAAAGATTCTCTTCGTAAAATCGATAGACCTCTCCATCGAGATTTCTGGGAACGATTCCAGCGCTGTCTCGATATCCTTCGGGAACGTCGATTTGAACAACGTACCGTATTCCGTCTTACGCTCGTTAAAGGCTTTAATATCGATGATGAAGCAGAAGGTTACGCCGACCTCGTCGAAAAAGGATTACCTTGTTTCGTTGAAGTCAAAGGTGTTACATATTGTGGAACATCGTCCTCCGCAGGTGCAGGACTCACGATGCAAAACGTACCATTCTACGAAGAGGTTTGCGCTTTTGTTGAAGCTCTTACTGCATCACTCAAAAGAAGAGGATTGGGATATGGTATTGCGGCAGAGCATGCTCACAGTTGCTGTATCTTGATCGCATCTGATAGATTCAACATCGCGGGTAAATGGCACACGAGAATTGACTATAAGAAATTCTTCGAATGTCTAGAAAGTGGAGAGAAGTTCGGCCCAGAGGATTACGTGGGTGATGAAACTCCGGAATGGGCAACATGGGGAAAGGGTGGGTTTGATCCGAGGGATGAGAGAGTATATAGGAAGGGAAAGAACAAGGTTCCTTTACCAGAATCTCAGGGTATGGTTATGGGAGAGGTTCAGGATGGGAATGAGGATACGGTTGCTGGGGATACTCTAGCTTTTTAGATATTGATCAGTTCATCTTATACAATGTTCTTGCTATCGTATAGTACAATAAATATACTTACTATTATATCTCAGACAGAGATCAAAGTAAGCAAACTAATAACAACCTTGAGAATCTCTTTTCCCTTCTTCCTGTTCAACCACCATTCCTATGATTCAATATCACTACTCAAGTAAGATTATCTAATTTAGAGTAAGTATCACTCTGCTTTGTATGTTGATTCTTTCGTGAAGCATTTTCTTGAATTTCTACTTTTTTTTAATAATATTTGGACCTCAACTCTAACTTCAATCATGTATTAATGTATTCTGTATAACGAATGTATGATATAATAAACAAAAGATCTGCAGAGGACAATACTGTTTATTGGTAGAGAACATGAATAAAGCATAAATGTCGTCGATACCTCTATCTGGATCTGAAAACCCAGCAAGAACATTCCATTCCAGCAAGTGTTTAGAAACAGATATTTTCATCCCCGTCTCCCTCTCTCTCACCCCTGACAGATAAAAGCCAGCAAGCTTCTAAATTAGATGATTCATAAGATGGATAACAAATGCATGTGTGTATCCGGATTCCTATCTGCTTTACCCATCCCAAAGACCCTCTCTCAGAGACCGTCTCCTGTATGAAGATTGACAGTACGTCTTGTCTCATATTGATTTGCCCAAACTCCAAGAGTGTAGCCCCATCCATCGTAACAAGCCATATTCGAAACATGCAAAAGTCTGTCCCTCCATCCGTCCCAAACACCAAGTAACCGTAGCACTAACCCACCAGAACCAACCTGGAAACCCACAAAAATTCTACCCTTGAAAAGGAGCGGACTAGGTGAAACTCCATTGACTCAAAATCCATTCCTGTTATCCCCGATTCATAAAATTTCATCCGTAATTCAGTCACCAATAGGTTTATCTAATCAATAGATAGGAAACCGCTCAATTTAGCCCATAGCATTGCCCATAGCATTGCCCATAGCATTTGCACTTGGCTCGGCCTCAGGAGGGGCATTGAATAAATCATCTCTTCGAATCATTACCCGCTCATTACAAATATCGATAAACTGCTCAAACTTGTGAATCACAACATCTTTCTGTCTTAATTGTTCCTTTAGATCTTCTACTTCTCTCTTCCAATCGGCCTTGACTTTCTCCACTTCTGCTTGGGCATTGGCTACCTCAGTTCGAAGTTCGGCGCGGAGCTTTTCTTCGAATGTCATGGGAGGCTTTTTGTAGAAGGTGGGGAGAGACTCCATGGCTGTAGGTTCTACACGAGATGGATCACGCTTGATGGCGGCTCGAGCATTGTAAATATCGCGGGGAAGGAAGCGAATGGTGGGATTTTCGCGATGGAGAATTTCGAGGGTTTCTTTTACGGATACACCTAGGTCATGTATTAGACAACTGTTCATAGACATCTGCGGATAAGATTGATTTACCATTTTCCTCAAGAGCCTTTACAGCGGCAATTGCTTTAGGATCTAATTTTCTAGCTCCTGGATGTTCAGTGGGACTATCGCTCGGGGGATGATTATGTGTGAGGTGTTCTCCATCAATTCGACCTCGTAAAAGCCAAGCAGTCTTATTTTCGAGACCAAAGACACCAAATTCGCAACCACATTTGCGGGATTTGGTCTTGCGTTGCCGCTGTTCACCTGGTACCTTCTCCTTGTTGGTTCCACCACGATCACAAATTAGGAATACTTTCTTTAGCCCTCTATTATCACGTTTAGATCTGCCAATCACAAACGCGTAGCCATGTGTCAAAGCATGTGCTTGTGCCGCTGCAAAAAGCGCTTCAAAAGTTGGGTAACTACCTCCTGGTGGAGCACTAAGCATATCATCAGGAGACACTTCCGGAGCTTCAGTTTGATCGTGTTCATCCGCGGGAGAAAGAAGGGAATTGCTAGGATCTAATTGTTGCTCGAGTGAAAGTTGAGGATCAATCATGGACATATCCTGAGCGGAGCTTGCCGGTGAATCTTGCGGCCTCGCAGATCCGAGGTTCGAATTAGCGGGAGAGGGGTTCATGGAGGGGGGTCGTTGAATGCCAAGACTTTGTCCTTGCAATGCCGGAGATTGTGACTGTCGTTGCTGAGTGCCAAAATCTCGAGCTTGATTCATGGCGGATGGGGGAGTTGGATGAACAGCATGATTGACAGTCATGGATTGATTTTGTGGGGTATGTTGAGGGGCAATATGAATTGCTGCACCCATAGGCGGGGGTCCATTTTGTCTCTGAGGCTGTCGTTGAGGAGTCTGACCATTTGTAGTATTACTCAAAATGCCTTGAGCAATTTGTTGTTCTGCAGATACTCCATTGTTGCCATTTTGTCTTGGTGGAACTGGTTGCTTATTGGCGTATGGGGTGGTGTATGGAGAATTGTGTTGTTGAATTGGTGGACCACGAATACCAGTTGACGTTGGTCTTGGATAAACAATGTTTTGCTGACCAAGATTTTGTTGACCTGGGAATATATGACGTTGTGGGTTTGGTTGTTGATATGGAGTTCTGGTAGGGTCTTGAGGTGGTATAGACATGATGGATACCGGTAAAGCTTGAATCGCTCGTATCGCAAAGTGGTCAACAAAAGTGGTGAATGTATCAATGGAGAAGAACTTCGGAGTGTGGACTCATCAGGAAATTTACTGGCTTTAGTCCAGCGATTGATGATTGGTGAGCTTAGCGAGAAATATGCCGTGCGGTAGGGAGCACGGAGTACCATTGAAGCAAGATCTCTCTCTCCGTAAAAGGCGGTGAAGGACGGCAGATCCACGGGAATACCTAGTAGGACCTAGTCATTTTGACAACGATTCCAATAATGGCGTCAGTGATGGTGGGGTTTATTATGAGCTGTAAATATATATAATAAATTGGAAATTTACTTTGGTATGTTATACTGTCAACTCAATAATGATTCTCTTTTGTAATTATATACATGTAATATATATTATAGTATATATATATAATCATGATTGTCCCTCATATATATTCGAGTTAATCCTTAAGTATGGCCATTAATTTTCAAAGCTGAAAAAACATCATAGATTACATCGGACAAAGCAAATCATTATTTGTTACAGAAACAGCCTTTAATAAGCTTTAGGAGAACTTCTTGGAAGAATATGATTCACAATCATCAATCACAATAACAAGCATCCAATAATCATACCCATCAAAAGTACAACGATAGAATTTATATTCACAACGCTGGTTCCCCCTTAAAATCAAAATATCCTCAACTGCTTTTTTGCATTTGGTATAATAAGTAGTCTAATGCAAGTCTACAAAAGTTGGATGCATCCCGGATTAGGCCACCAATGTATTATTCATAGGCAATACCAATTAGAATGCTGCTTCCAAAGGATGCCATAGAACCTCACATACAGAAAACAGAATGTTCATTGCTTCTGTTCCAATCATTGTAACACAATATCGCATGTCAAAGTTGATCGTTTTAGTTACTCTATCTATCTAGAGGAAGTAGTCGGGAGTACCTTGTATTGTGTCAGTAAAGCGATCACAATATGTAGATTCAAATTCATGGAATACTTACGACGTGATACCATAGGCTCTCCAGCTCTTGGGCAAGGGTCGAATTGTAGGCTAGATCGTGTTAAAAGGTGGCATTTTCAAAAGGGTTAACGCTGCTACTTACAAAGTATATTTAAGGTGCTCATCAATCTCCATAATTGCTGCTTGATTACCACATCTGTAGCAGTAATTGGGGGCTATTGTAGTCAACATCATATACACTGTCCATCTAAAATAAAGAAATCATACCTGAGAAGATCGTAACAACGTTTCTGTCTTGAGACCAATTATATCCCTCCATGACCAGTTGATGGGCCCTTGCGACCAAAGTTAATCCATTATTATGATTGAACGCCTCCGAAATATCTTGACCGAAGGTATAACCCGCCCCTCTAGGAGATATTCCCCACCCGCATCTGTCATCTGGATCCGACCATAGCAAGTCGCACATTGGACCTTCATGTGGCACTTCTTGTATACGGTCGAGAGCTCTGATGTTGTCCAACGTGTCAATGCTGGGAGAAAGACCTCCGTGAAGACAAAAGATTTGGTTGTCGATGAGGGCGGTGAGGGGAAGGTAATCGAAGAGATCGGTAAAATACTTCCAAACGTTTGCATTTCCATATTTTCGGAGGCACTCGTCGTAAAAGCCATAAACTTGGGTAATTTGACGAGATTCGTGATTACCACGGAGGATGGTAATTCTTTGGGGGTATCTTATTTTAAGAGCGACTAAGAGAGTGACGGTTTCGACTGAGTAATAACCTCGATCAACATAATCACCTATGATAACGTGTCAGTAATGCCAGGAAAAGGGCAGTAAGGGGTAGGAGACATACCCATGAATAAATAATTAGTATCTGGGTTTGGTCCACCGATCCTGAAGAGCTCCATCAGATCATGGAATTGCCCATGAATATCTCCGCAGACAGTAACAGGGCATTTCTAGACCGTTGATCAGCTCTTTGAATTCCAACACGAAAAGGGTAAGCATACCACTGGCTGTACATTTGACTCGTCCTGCAATACTTCTCGTGCCTGGCAACGCGTTCTTGGTTAGCTTGCTTATATCAATCAAGTCTTACAATATGACTAGATCCGCAAACAATAATACCTTATCGCAAAGCCTCTGAACATCTACCTCGGCCAGTTGCTTGCATGCCATCAAGTTCTCAATCCACCCGTCGAGAGTTGGTATAGATGCAGGTTCTGCTGCTGGAGATAATCTCGTGGGCGAAGGCACCCTGCCTACATCTTCCATATTTGTATCCATTGTGTTCCTTCTAACGTATGGTTATTTTGATGGTTTGTTGTTGATTTGGTGGTTGATATTGAATTGCTTGAGCTGGGTGACGACAAGCGCGCGGATTGGTCGTTAAAATGGTATGTAAAGTTTGTTGTTCTTTTCGGGAACCGGTCCGCGCAACTTCAACTAATATCTTATGTTCAGAATCGCAAAAGCAATTTTTATCATAAGATTCAAATCGTTTGTCGTGCAGAGATGTTTGTGGAGGGGCTTTGAGGTGTTAGAAGCGGTGCGCAAATTGAAAGGAACAACTCCTCGCTTACTAAGCCTAAAATTAAGATCGCAATCGAGAGGAAATGGGGTATTTGATTTATAGGAGAGGCAAGAGAGCATACGACAATAAGGAAGTTGTATTTAAACTTTGTTTCCTCAACTTTATTTTTATTATTGTATCATCGTAGGATGATCAAGTTTCAATAATGGTAGTAAAATTTCAAATTGTTTTTATTCAATTCTAATGAATGAATTCCTATTGATGATGTTCCAACGAAAGGATGTTCTTGAGTAAGTATCCCTAGTCAAGTTTTAAATTTGGATTTGGTATATACCAATCTACCCATCTGATGCTACACTATGCCAAACCTAAGCCTAAGCCTTTAGGTCCGTTATTGAAAACATCTATCGAGTTTGAACCAATGAGGCTGGTAAAGTCTAAACCAACTTCGGAGAGCATTTTGGCATGCTCTCTTGCCTGATCCATACATTCCGTCCATACTTGTCCGTTCTTCTCAGTGCTACTCAGCTGTCGGGCAAGAATAACATTGAATGCATCGACCTGCTCTTTGGCCCATTTTACACAGGCACTCATGAGTGGTTGCGGAAAGCATGCTTGGAATGTTGAGACAGTATTTCGTATTATTGTAAAATATACGAATGATACCTCCCAGATATATTGACGGAGGTTGCCTTCGAAGATACATTGCCTATGAAACCAATTAGTAAAGCCCAGCAAATGAAAATTTTTGTCTAGTACCTTGATCTCTTATGGATGATGTCCCCTCGAGCCTCTAAATACGCTTCTCTCGCTCGATCCTCGAAGCCGAGGCTAGTTAACCAGCCGATATTGCGTTGAACTTTCTTGGGCTCATTATGTGTATCGACTAACTCACGGGTGATGAGTTCTGCAAGTCTGGTTGCCCTTTCATCGGCTTTGAAGCTAATGAAGTCCTGGGCGACAACATTGCTTTTAAGGCCTTTGGCCAAGGAATTTAGTTTTGCAACACGTTGTACCGCAGCGTCGAAATGTTGCAGGGCGATGTCGATATCCAACTCATCCACCTGACTCTCTACCCACCGCAGATTTTGCTGCTTGCCATCAACCTCGATAAGCATATCTTTTATGTCCGAAAGAGTCTCCAGTAAGTCTGTCTTCTTTAACAATCCTGGGTCACGTGAAGCAAAGTAGTTGATGGTTTCCTTAGCCTTATTGCTTGTTTCCATTTCTGACCGGATGCCCTTATGGAGCTCTTCTACCGCTTTTCGGATGTTCATCATAAGGGAAGACTTCTCATTGTCGCCCGGCTTTTCAGTTCGATAGGTAAACGATTCCTGACCTACACCCCTAATCATGATTGCATCAGCCAACTTGTTACGCACACTAGTTCCTTCACTCGTGCCTGCAAGGTCAACAATTTCAATGTCCAATAATGGCCAGCATCTGTCTGCCACCAACTTCGATGGCGCCTGTCGTTGATCTGCGCCTTCGACTTTTCGCTTTTTCCTAGAGGCAACGAGGAGATGATCATTCAATAAGACGATCTGCATCGCTCGTCTAGATTTCCAAGTAGCATTGTCAAGCTCTATCCATAGTCCAGCATTTTGCACCACGTGACGGCCAGGGGCAGCAGGTAGAAACTTTTGGGAGCCTTCAATAGTCTTCCATAAAGCCTAACAAAATTAATACCTCTATAAAATTCGTAAAAAGAGGACATACCTGTAGCTGCGAGTTCCACATCACAGTTCTGTCTGCCACAGAACTTCGCCTGTCTTTCTTACTCGTTGTTGGCTGGAAGCCTTCGAAATCAGTTGATGTGGATGGACCTTGTGAAGTCGTTCTGAGGGCAGTAGTGTTGGTTTTAAGTTCAGCCATTAGATTCCGAAGTGCGCGCATCTCCCCTTTGAGCTTTTCTGCCTCTTTACTAATCTTTATGAATTGTGTCCGATTTTGATAAATGTTTTGTTGTAAATCCGTAGAAGTACGATTCTTCATCTTTCTTAAATTGTTTTGGTAATCCTCAATATCTTGTTCCGAAGCATCACTTAATAGTCCCGCTACGTATACCTCTGGCCTCAAATTTGGATCGCGTAAAGCTCTCTGGTCTACTACTAAACCAGGTCCTCTCGCCGGCGATGGACCTCGTCCACGATCGTTTGCCGGAGCATATTGAGCTGGCAAGTTAGGAACAGAGGGAAGAGGTGGGGCAGAAGGGTCGAAGTCGGGGGGAAGATTATTAAATCGAGTAGAGTATCGCCGTTTCACCAAATCTGAAGTCTATGGCGGCGCATATTAGCATCTATTCAAGAAACCACCAGGGCATTAGAATGAAAAAACTGAAAAGACCTTCGACATACCTTGCCACCAGGTTGAGGACGTTGCGCCGGCGGAGCATTGAAAGATGGCTGTCCAGCATTTCGTGGACCATCTCCTCCAGTTTGTGGAATTGGACCGGATATCTGTTTGGGGGCACTTATTGCTGGACGACCTTTTCTCTTGGTCCTTAGAGACACGCCTTTTCTTTCATCCGACATATTGCAATTTTATTGCCAGAAAAAGACGAGTTACACCGAAGAGTACTGTGCTAGACAATTGTATATCGAAAAGGAAGGTGTTTAAGGTTCAGGTTGTTCCATAGGCATTTATGCTGGAGTAACAGTACAGTAACCGAAAGGGAGCAAGCGTTCCCGCACGTATGTCAGGTCAGTCAGTACCTGAATTGGGTCCAATTACATTTGATAGGAAGAATGTTAATCGAGTAATTTTCCAAGAATACTCTAATTCATTACCGTAAAGAAAAATGCACTTTGATATTCAAGCGTGAAGTTTATCGTATGTCTATATAAGTTATGATGACGAACCTCACCTTAGTACACTCACTATCTACCTGTAAGGTTAAGTGCCAATCAGACAAGGCGCGACGATTGTCCTTTCAGAAGATTTGGTGGGCGGATTTAGATTGGTCCGAGAGCCGCTGAACCTAAAATTCCCAAAATTTATCGATAGCTCTAAGAACATTTCTGAGCTTTTGGGGACTAAACCAACCTCAATCATACAATAGACGACCATAGCCAGCCGCTTCAGTTGTCCTCCCGACTCCTTCTCTAATATCATATAAAATCTCGGCAAAATGGTTCAAACTTCCACAATTGTCGCTGCCAGTGTTGGCACAGTTGCTACAGGCTTGGTCGGTTCGTGATTCCTATTCTTGATTGGAATTTCGAAATCTGCTAACGAACTTTTTGATAGCCTACGCAATTTATTTCGATCACAAGAGACGCACCGATCCAAACTTCCGCAAACAATTGAAGAAAGAATCGAAACGACAAGCAAAAGCTGCGAAGGAGGAAGCGGAAGCTCACAATGAGAGACAAAAAGAAGTTATCAAGGCAGTAGTTCTAGAAGCCAAGGAGGATGGATTCCCGGTAGATGTGGAGGAGAAAGAGGCATATTTCATGTCAGAAGTTGCCCGAGGTGAAGACTTAAGCTCAAATGGTGAGTTACCTTTGGAGAAAATTAAATCCAGAATCTAATACTTGAGTATAGGTGGCGACCCCGTAGAAGCAGCACTCTGTTTTTACAAGGCACTTAAAGTTTACCCTCAACCAAATGATTTGATATCTATTTATGACAAGACGGTGCCAAAGGTAGGTCCTCGGATCCTGGTTCATTGACGGAAAGATCTAACAAAACTTTTAGCTTGTCCTCGATATTCTTACAGAAATGATTGCAGCCGATGCAGCTTTAAACGTCGGACCATTTGGTGGCAGCCCTTCTGATAGTGGTATACCCAATGTCGGCCTTGATTAGTCTGGCTGTTGTTTTAATATACATGTATTCTGAACACCTCCACTCTTCATCATGACCCAATCTTTTTACGGAATTTCACGAACGGCAACTGGATAATGTCGAATCCCCAAGGTGGACTATGTGATAGTCCAATGTATATCAATCAGCATGCTTGACGTCGGCAGGTTCTCGCATTACGCATTACGTCTAATTTGTACATAGTATCCATACTGTCAAAATGCGCGCTGGTTGTTATTTACAACGCTGCAAAGAGCCGTATGTAATGCAAATCAAGGCCAGCCAGATTCATTGTTATACCCTGGCAACCTGCAGGCCGCTTGTTTTACATTCCCCGCATTCAATGCTATTTGGCGTGAAAAATGTCAGATAGTGAGCATACTACTAGGTACCTAAAGTAAAGATTGATCGAACTGTATTCAGACTATCAGGACTCATTGAGAGATTGATAGCTCGAGCATGTTCGGAGTAGAGTCACCACACCTAACCATATAGCAACAAATCTTCAACGCGTGTATGATGGAAATGTGATAGGAAGGTTGTAATAGAATTCATATCATGTCGTCTCCACTCCAAATTCCTAACAAGATATATAACGTCCATTTCGAAGATAAGAGATTCGCGGGGTGGGATAGCTGCCTTTTAGTATCTGTATTGGTAGTGAAATGCTTGTTCTAGAAGCGGAAGTTAAAAGTAAAGGAGAGAGAGAAGGGTCACACTCAGGAACAGTTGCATGACGCTAGGCCTAGCGAACGGGATGATTAGAGTGACAGGGGTAGATCGCGGTCGCGACAACACCAAAATCAATGTAATCAAATACAGCATAACATTTTGGTCCTACCGCCCACTTTCCTACCATAGGAGTCAACAAATTCACCTCCATACAAATTACCATAAATCTGCCACTTTTCTTCAATCTTTTAACAACATAAAAAAATAAACACATTGGCGATGAATACAACTTAATAAGTCACAACCTTAACAGCCATGAGCTTGCTTGATTCCTCCGCAAGTTCCTCCGGGAATGGAGCAAACGGAGTCGGGACGAGTGCATTTTCGTCAATAGAACCAAAGATAATTGTTGAATTTCTTGCCTCCGTTCTCCAAATCACTTTAGGAGCAACCAGACATGACCTTGAGCATACGGGCAGTCTCCTTTCCGAAGCCAGATACTCTGATACGGCTCAGCGATGCACCAGATTTGCCTCAGAATCTCAAATAGCAGTAATATATGTACAGAAGGATGTAGTTTCACAGAGGGAAGAGGATTCTACAAATGAACCAAGTAAGCACACTGGTCGTTTAATACAGGTGAATATTGGTTAACATGGATGCAGGCTCGATTTTGTACAGCTACAGCTTAGCTTCCGACATATCCTCCTCTCCTTCAACAACCGCCTCGGTGGCCTTTATGAAAGGACCGCAGCCTATAGACCCTTCGATACCTATTTCTTCTCAAATACAACTTATTAATTTACCTGGTGCAGCATCACCGAACGATACCACGAATGGCCAGGCGGGAGCTACTATTTTGCATTCATTTGTGCATCTAGCGCTGGCGCCATATTTTGATGCATATACAAAGACACAACAAACGGGGGGTGGGGGTCGAGGTAGACCGGAACTCGAGGCTAAAACTGGAGTTTCCGCTACCAAAAAGAAGCTAGCAGAGCTAGAGTTAGCTTTGCGACATCTCCAGGAGAACGTTGACATTCCAGACCTGACACTTCCGCTTCACCCTATGGTGCAGCATGCACTTGATGAGGCGGCTGCTCGTGGTGCCAAGGCGACAGTAGAGGCCATTCCGGAAAGACTGATGCAAGATAGTACTTTCCTCAACAACCTGCAATCGTTAGTAAACGGATGGATCAAGTCGATACAAGCTATTACAAAGATGTCGCGAGATCCTACGAGCGGTACTGCGTCACAAGAAATTCAGTTTTGGCTCGCTATGGAATCGACACTTGAGCATATCGGTGCACAGCTATCCAGCGATGGAGTAATGCTTACCCTTGAGATCTTAAGACATGCCAAACGTTTCCAGGCCACTCTCAGTTTTACATCCGATACTGGACTGAAAGAGTCGACCGACAAGGTACAAAAGTACAACCAACTCATGCGAGATTTTCCTCTTGACGAATTACTTTCGGCAACCTCATTGCAAAAGGTTGGAGATGCATTGGGTCTCATTTTTGGACACTTGAACAAGAAATTACGTATTTGCCCATACCCAGTTCGACGTGCCTTGCCATTGGTGGAAGCAATTTCTGCAGATCTTGACACTCGCCTCCACTCTCTACTTCACGGCCGCTCATTGATGCATTTGGAATATCGCGATTTCAGAAAGTTGATGTCCGTCGCTGATTCTATCTGGGCCATTTGGGATGATAATCTAAAGGAGTTTACTAATGTTGCCCGAGAAGTGACACGTCGAAGAAACGAGAAATTCATGCCTATCAAAATCATTGGAAAGCATGCGGAGCTTCAAGCACGTCTAAAATATGTGAGCACCTTTAGAGACAACCATGAGCAACTACAGCGAACAATAGTCAATGTTTTAGCACCCAAGGCTGGTGAGGACTCACCAGACGGTGGAGCCAATGGAGTCGTTTTAGTCGAAGAGATGGGTGACGTTGACGCTGTTGAGGAAATTAAGCAGGCTTGGGCTGCATTGAATAATGTAGATATGCTTGACGTTTCTCCCGAAGGAACCCAGCTGTGGATTCAAGCGGAAAGTACCTATAACGAGCGAACATCGCGCGTCGAAAACTCAATTATTGCCCGATTGCGAGATCGATTAGCCACTGCCAAGACAGCAAGTGAAATGTTTCGAGTATTTTCTAAATTCAATGCTCTATTTGTCCGACCAAAGATTCGTGGAGCCATTACAGAATATCAAACACAACTTATTGACAATGTCAAACATGATATCTCGTCCTTACACGAGCGATTCAAGCAGCAATACGGGCACTCGGAAGCTCACGCCATGGCACAGCTTAGAGATTTGCCGCCGGTTTCAGGGGCGATCATTTGGGCCCGTCAAATCGAGAAACAACTCAATGGATATATGAAAAAAGTTGAAGACGTACTTGGAACCGAATGGGCACTTCATGCCGAGGGACAAAAGCTTCTCAGTGATAGTAATCTTTTCCGCAACAAGTTGGACACTCGACCAATCTTTGAGGCATGGCTTCATGATGTGCAGCGGAAGCATGTTAGCATTTCTGGAAGGCTTTTCAACATAAATAAGATCCGTGCAGCAAACAATGCATTAGAGCTAGCTGTCAATTTTGACCATCAGGTCATTGCGCTATTCAAGGAAACACGAAATTTACAATGGTTGAACTACCCCGTTCCTCATCAGATCAACAACATATCAAAAGACGCAAAGCGGGTGTACCCCTACGCGGTCAGTCTCATGGAAACCGTTCGGACATTCACACAAACCAGTCGCCAGATAACTGAAATGGCCGATGTTCAAATACTTCTAAGCGGTTATCAGAACGAGGTTCAGGCCTTGATTGCTCGTGGAGTTACTCTGAAGTGGGAGTCATTTGTGCACTCGTACGACATTCATATTAAACCTACGTACACTAAAGGCTCAATTGAACCTGCCATTGCCAATAGGACCGAGAGCAAGCATGTGCAATTCGTCCGTGAAATTGCTGCATCAGTCGCTTTGTTACAAAGCAAGGCTGAAACTCTCGCTTCCATAAATGCAACAATT